GCGGTACATCTGAACCCCAAGTCCACGCCCCACAGAAAGCTGAGATCCATCTCAGAATTTCCCAACCTTAAGCCCGGCTTAACCCTAAACATCGCAAACCATCCTTGAACCCTCAATCGCAAAACATAAACGTCCCCAACAATCAGGCTCCATAGGGCTTACTTACGGCTTGCGGAGGGTTTCATATAAGAGCTTAATAAAAAAAATCGAAAAAGATATGGGGGAGGGTTTAGCGCCCTTAGCAAAGCTCGAGTCCACACACCCCAAACCCTAACACCCTCAAGCAGGATCCGCCGAGATCTTGCAAGCCCCCAGTCCCGTAAACCCGGAATTCTGAACTTCTGCCGTCCAGATAAAGATGGTTAACATTAAAAGTCCTTATACAAACCTAGCACCGACAGCCCAAAACCCTAAAACCTAACCCTAAATAAAGCCTTAAAGCCACCCTGAACCCTAAAAAAGCAAGGCAAGGAGCTTCTGAAACTTGGCCGTAGCCTCTGCATCCCCGGGGTTCTTGTCCGGATGACACCTCACAGTCTGCTCTCTTGCTCCAAACCGCGGAGTTTTTAGGGTTTAGGGTTTAGGGTCTATAGTGTCGAGGGGTTCGGGTTCGAGGTTCCGGCGGGTATCAGGATACGAGCACCGATCAGGAGGTTCAGGGCATTGGTCTAGGTTTGCTTGATAGAAACCTTACCTAGGCTGTTCAGTAACCCATTGGGAAAACGTTAATACTATACTTTTTCAGGCTTCTTATTTTATAATAGGAACCCAGAAACCTGAAAGTAACAAAAGTGTACCACTGAACAGCCTGGTTACAATGTAAACCCTGGACCTTTTGGCCTGTCAAGTTTTGCAACCACACTATACCTTCTCATTGCCGCTTCACCACCGTACTTCTCATCCAACGATGGATACGGCACCTGTAGACGATGGCCTTACCTTGCCATCATGCTTGGTGCATGTATTATGTTGAAGTACTGCCCATGCGCCCTCCAGCAGGACCTGGTACCTCAAGTAAGTAGCTGCGAAATCAGCCTATACAAGTGTTCAAAAGCCCTTAAAAAGCTGGTACAAAATCCTCTGGCCGAGTCTAACTAAGAAAAATACATTAGGGTACACGGGACCTCTTGGATTGACATGGCACTCATACATATAAAGCCTATGAAACCAAACTCTGGCCCGAGACCCGTCAACCCGCACATACAACTTTGGACTTTAAGGTTCACAAGCCCCGTATATAACAAAAACACCATAACTGTGCTTTTAAGTAACCAGGGAGAAAAAAGTATAAACTTTTATTTCATAAGGGTTCCTTTACGAAAAAAAAAGTATTAAAGTACGGTACTCCAAAGCCCAGATAAACCCTCCCGGAAGCTCTATGAAAGCCGATATTGCCCGGCTAGAACATGTACAGAGCCCTGCCGAAAGCCCATAGAACCCCCCATGGCACCGCTACGGCGCACAGAAGAATGCTGTATTGCCTTGCAAGAAATTGCATAGCTCTGAAAGAGTCCTAGTGCACACCTTCGACAGGGCCACAAAGCCCATGAGTATTGCCTGATATAATACCCCTACAAAGCCCCTTCAATAATTACAACCATCAAACCTTTACACTTTCGACCTTCAACCCCCGAGAAGTGCCTAAGCCTATGCTGTAGGAAGCCCAACAGCTCAGGTTTGCTCTTACGCGCCAGTAAGAGAAAAAGCTAATGAGGAGGGGCCGTTAGAGGTCAAAGCGTGGACCCTGTAAGCCTTCGGGGTTACGTGCGCGGGTTTGGGCCGGTAGATTAGGGTTTGGGGTCCTGCACATCTCTTACGAACATTGAGCCTTTCTGGATAAGCTTTTGTTTGTTCTTGGGGTGCTGTGATTAGACGTGGGTTGGCAGAATGGTCTGAGTCGTCTGCCAATGAGCGCTGAGGCTTAGGCACTCGCGCCTCTTTGTAGTAGGCCTTGTCAAACAGGAGCGCTGAAGGCACGCAATACAAAAAAGTGCACAAGATTCGCTAATCGTGTATGTAGTCTACCATGGCAGTAGACCACAATATCCCAAAGTTAAAATCCTTGCCGAATGTTGCCAAGTCTTCCGTGTTTGCTGCAATCATGCCAAATCTCGACAAGTTTGACCAAGCCTGGTGGTGTGGGCACAAACCCTAAACCCGTTTGCAACAGGCTTTGCACTTCGCCCGGAGTTGGAGCCAGCAGCCCTATAAACCCTTAACCCCTAACCCCTAAAACGGACCAAGCCTAGTTTTGTGGGCCGTTTTCCTCGTGCATCTCTTCGCTATGAGTTTGTCTCCAGATGCCTGAACGGTCAGAGCCTGTCGAGTATATCATAACAGAGTCATAACCATCAACCCTAAAAGCCAGTACTACAACTAGTAGTTGGGTTTCAAGTAGCACTAAACATCCCAAAACGAAATAGCTGGCACACTCTGCGCAAGGTGCCTTCTTGATCTCGGACGGGCTGGCATTGGGCCTGTTCGTGGGGCAAACCAGTTTACGTCTTTCCGTGTTGCTTGCTGCGTCCACAATCACGACGATCGCTGCTGTTACGGCTGCTGCTGCTGCTCTTGTTGTTGTTGCCGTTGCTGTGTGACGGCATTGCCGTGGTGCTGTCACCGTTGCCGTTCTCGCTGTTGTCGTCGCCACTGCGCTGGTGTCGTGCTCGTCGTCATGGTTGCCGTTGCTGTTGGTATTGCTATTGCTGTTGTTGTGGTTGTTGGTGGAAGTGTTGCGGTTGCTGCTCTTGTTGTTGGTGTTGTTGTTGGTGGTGGTGGTGCTGTTGATGTTGTTGTTGTTGCTGCTGCTGATGCTACTGCTTTTCTTGTTGGTGGCTGCTGTGGTGATGGCGGTGAGGATGGTGTGGTGGCGGTGGCAGTACATGGTGCTCACACGAACTCACATCGGCTTCCTGCAAGATGCAGCGGAGCAGTCAAGGGACGAAAGGCAGAACCCTTACCAAGGACCTTAGGGGTTCTTTGGGGGTTATTGAGGGGCTACTTAGGCATATAGGGGTTCTGGAAGGGCTATAAAGGGGCTATATAGGGAAATAAGGTTCAGGGTCCGATTCTAGAGCTCCCTCCTTATACGCCTTAAAGCAGCATGTTTGCATTCTGTGGCGGCCTGAACTGCTTTCTTGCAGCACGGCTATGTTCAGGACTTGTGCCTGTCTGACCGTCGGCTGTCACACGCTTTGGTAAAACACCTCATAATCGATGGTCATGTAAACCCCATCCCTGAACAAATGGGGGTTTCAGAACATAGGGGACCCTAATATAGTACCCTCAGTAGTAGGATCCTTATTATAAGGACCCTTAAATAAGGTACCCTTTACGAGCCTGTGGTGTCAGATGGAAAGGAACTCTGCTCTTCCTAGCACACTCCAAACCCGAACATGTCGCTAACCCAAGGTCGGGCTGCCAAACTGCAGCCGCATTGGGAATGTCTCGCCATCTTGGCAAAGACATCACTGCCTGACAGCATTCTCTGACTGGGGAGGGGGAGGGCTATACAAGACTCTTCTGAGTCTTGGGTTTAGTGTAGTCTAGAGGCGCGGATTGCAGTGCGTGCAAACACCCAATGACAGTTCAATTCCCGCAACAAAGACGCCATGATCTTCATCGCCAAATGCATACAAGAACCTGCAAAAACATAGGCAAGCTAAATGGACTGTCAACAACAGCACAGCAAACAGCGGTTGCAACGGCTACTTTGACAAGCTCTACTCCTACTGCTTGCTACCACCGACGACAACCACCACAACCATCAACACCAGCACCAACAGCACAACCAACACTCGTGACGGTATTGGTACTAGTCACAATACTGAACTCGCACTCACGGTTCAGGCCTAGAGTGTGGCAACTCAGTATGGTGCAAGACCTATCGCTACGACTATCTGCCACCGCTAGGCTACTGCTATTAATTTTACGCCACTGTTTTTACTTGTTTACTACTACTACTACTACTACTACTACTACCACTACTACCACTTCTTCTTCGATGGTGGTGACGTGCGACGCGAGTACTGCGCAAGCGGCGAAGAATGCCACGGAACGATTTCGGTTGAGGCGGTGAGGCCAACACCAACCGATTGACACGATCCCGGCAAAGAAGAAACATGCTTCGACAGCAGTCAACCCGTAAGCATGCCGGATCTCAAAACGACGCTGGCCCGGCTGCAGCACCAAATAGCTTTGTTCTGATGTGGGCCGATAGCACATGCGAGAGAGCAAAACACACACAAGCTCGAAGATCAACAAGACGAAGACAGTACGAGAAAGGCTGTGGCTGCTGAACCTGCTATCGCACACGCTATGCTTCACTAGGAAACCACTGAGGCCGTCATACGAAAGCTGCAACCATCACGGGGGAAACAAGCATCAACTTAGCAGAAGTGACGGCTCTCAGATATTCTGGTACTCTCGCAGGCACCCGAAAGTTGCGCGTCTTTTGATTTGGGACGGTCCCAAGTGCTGCTGCATCTGAATCTCAACTCGAGTTCAGGCTACTGGCCACTCCAAACTTCTAGTCGCGGGATCTCTGATGAAGAGCAACCGATTTAAAAGAAAAAGCAGAGAACAGAGGGTTTGGGGGTGAGGGCACAGCGGTTTGTTTAAATGCCCTTAATATAGAGACCTGAATAATTGCCGATTCCTCAAGGTTCCTTCTGTAAGTCTAAGTAGATACTTTTGCACCTATGTATGTATATATATATGACATGTGCGTATAGTTTTGGTTACTACGATGACAATGGCAATAATATAATTAAACATGTTATCAATCAGCAATCATAATGAAAAACACCCAAATGTCCCTGTATGAAACACTTTGCAGTTGCTCCATAGATGTCCCAGGAAACAGGGTTAGGGTACTTCATTTTCGTATGGAGAGCTTACCGGACTTGGGTCCAACGCTTTAGGGTGCGAGTCAGGTTTATGTGCCTTAGGCTGGGGCTGGGAGGAGTGAGGCTGATCATGTCAAGGCACCTGCTGCCGGATCACTTCTCCGTCATTTCCAGAACCTCGCTCCAAGTTGCTTCACTAATATAGGGGCCCAAAAAAATTAGAGTAGAGTTTTGCATGGGGCCCTCCCCTGATTTACCACCGGGCCCACGTATATGGGAGATGCTTGTCTTCGGACTTTCTAAGTTGAAGAAGGGGACCGTGACATGCATAAAAGCACTGGGCCAGGGTTGTAATCCGTGGGTCGGAACCGATAGTAATAATACCCTTTGACATTCCTCACATGTACTCGTTTAGGGTTTCGGGGTTGAGGGTTTACTTGGAGGTTCATGGGTAGGTATAAGTGGGACAATAAGTCCGTCAATATGGGTTATAAGTATAGTTACCCTACTTATAACCGCACTTGAACCTCCAAGTGGGCGTTTAGCATTTAGGGATTTAGGGATGTCTAGGGTTGAGGGTATCTGCCTTTGGAAAGGCGAAACGCTCAGGTAGAAACTCCCTTCGTCGTTGCTCCCGCCCGGAGACCCAGGGACTCTAAAACCCCTGCAATAAGGAATTCACATTAATCTAAACTTAATCCTGACACAAGATAACTATAGTAAAATATACCGTTATACCGACTATACACAATGACCGTATCCTTATTCTAAGATTGCCCTACAAAGAGACATATTGGAGATCATCCGACAAGAGAACGCTGGCTCGAGAAGCCATGCCTCTCGGCCTTTCTCCGAGTGATGGCCGCCCTTCGGCGAACCCTCGAGAACTTAAGGGGAAAAGGAGGGACCTTTGATGGGACCCCTACCCTATAATGGGATATAAAAAGGGTATATCAGAGCTATATACATTAAGGGTATATACCTAAGGGGTCCTTATTGAGGGTCCCTGTCCCTCCTTTTACCCTTGGACTCGAGAACTTAAGTTAGGGGTTGAGGCTTCGGGGCTAGGGTAGGATCGGCTGAGAGTTTAGGATGTAACAAAGAATGGCTCTACTTCCAGTCAAGAACCCTTAAGGAACAGTATAAACCCGAAGCTGCCTTTAAAGTCAATCTCACGCCCTAACACCCTGAATCCCTAAACCCGCCCCCACCTCGAACCTTATAAAGCCTCACCGAAAGCTTGAAGTCTCAACCCCCTGGAGCCTTCAGCCCGCACTCCAAACCTTCCCAAGGTTTCTGCTTCTCTAGGCTTTCTCAGGAGGTTTGGCTTTAAGGGATAAGCGGCTTAGGGTTCAGTCAGGTCTTGGGGTTTCGGCCTCGGCGCTCACACTCGGACAATCCAGGCGAGGCATGTGGTTCGAGGTATGAAGAGTGAAACTACGACTACATGTACTCGGGACTGAGTTGATAGTGGGTTTAGGGTTTCGGCGCTCACACTCGGGGTTTAAGGTTTCGGGTTTTAGGGTGTAGGAGCCGGTAGAAAGTTAAACCTAAGCTTTATAGGGCATAAGAAGTCCCAAACAGCCCCAAACATCCGAGTCCTTAGGCACAAATCTGCCGGAAGTTCTGAATTCCTACTTTGGCCCGCAGCCTGATCCTGTCGGGAAGCTGTTAGCTGTCCCCAATGCCCCAGCCCCCCTAATTACACCCTAAACTCTAAACGCCTAAACCCTAGACTCTCAGACCCTCAAAGGCCCTAGACCCCTATAGAGCCTAAACTCCCTAGACACAAACCCGTTGTTTTGAGAATCGGGCAGGACTCCAGGAGGCGGTCGGAGGTAGCTTGCTGGCATCCTCGCTTGTTGTTTTGGGCGTTTTTAGCTGATTCTTAAGGGTCTTAGAGGCTTGGGGTTAGGTTATTGGCTGGATGCTTAGGGGTGTTTAGGGATCTGCGGCTAGAGTCTTCGATTTTAGGGGAGCTGGGGTTTTGGTCATAGGGGTTGTAGGGTTTGGCTTTCGGGGGTTCGGTGGCTTCGGGTTTCGGGCTTGGGGTTGTCGTTTCGGGTCTGTGCGCCTCGGGTCCCCTAAGGCTTCGTGCACCCATATAGTCGGTACTGAGGCCTTAAAGTGCCTATATAGGGACCTCTTTAAGGCTTAAACCCTAAACCCTAAAGTATCTACTGTAAATGTACATGGAGCCTTTGGGGTCGTGTGGCGGGCTATGTGCGGACGGGGCCGTGGAGGCCGCAGACCCCCAGGGGCCCCAACGAGACGCGCGGCAGGCCACATGGAAACAGAACTGCGGGAATGGTCGGAGCTCTGACCAGGGCTTTGTTGGCAGGGTTTAGGGTCTACCCTTTTTGGGATTACCTTATAGAATTCTAAATATGAACCTCGAAAAGGAACTACTATGAAGCCTTAGGAGATAGGGTCCGGTGCGAAAGCCAGCCCTCCCAGATGTAACACAAGACTTCAGAGTGTCATCTAACCTAGGTCGGTGCCTGGCAAAGCTTCAGCCCTAAGCCTAATCCAACCAAGGTACACAATCGAAACCTCCTGTGACCTTCCGATTTCTGGCAGTAATGCAGCATATTGCAGAGCTAAGTTGGGTGACTGTTAGTCGACAGATCCGAACATAGACAAGCCACGCAAGAATGAGCCGCAAGACTCCAGAACAAGGGGAACACACACACACACACACACAGACACACACACACACACACACACACACACACACACACACACACACACACACACACACACACACACACACACACACCCACACACAAACACACACACACACACACACACACAAACAAACACACACACACACACACACCAAGCTTGAACCTGTGGCCCTACATCTCAGAAGGAACCTCCGCACGTTCGATGAGGCGCTGGGACGCCAGGTCTTGTGGCTCCTTCCATCACAGCATGAATTTTGGGCCAGGGATTAGGGTTGAGGTTCTTTTTCCCGCCTACATTTGCATTTCGGGATTCAAAGTTGGATGCGGTGAGGCGGTGCACTTAAAGCTTCATGGCATGGGGTTGGGGTTATCAAAGACCGAAGAGGTAGTCGCAGGTGAGGTCTGCACCATCGGTTGCATCGCACCAAATCTTAACCTGAGGGGGTATGCTCGGCTACGACGACGACCACTACTAGGACTACTACGACTGCTACCACTCCCTACCCCGGCCAGAAACAGTGCCCGAACGACCAAGTCCACCTCAATATTCAAGAAAGCCAAACAAAGGGAACTTTTCGAACCGTGCTTTGTTCAGACTCTTCAAATCTGACATGTCCGTGTCACACACACATTGCTGCTACACGCAATCACACCCTCTGGGACACCGAGAATTCACGTTTTCAGGCTTGACATCCTTCGCTGAGCCTGTCTGAATCTGCCCTGGCATCTCTTCCGAACCGCTTGAAGCTAATGAAAAGACCCCCCCCCGCCAAAACAACGAGTAGAGACAAACCCGTGTCTTTCCTGCGCCAGGTAGGCATTTGCCAAGCGAATTGCATTCACCTGAATCGGTTTTCTGCCAGCTTCTGCGAAACCCTGCCTCTGTGCCTTCAACCCAGGTGCATCCCCATAACCAGTTACAAGTTATAACTTGCGAACATGGTCTAGCTGTCCGACCCTCAGATATTACCAGCAAAGCAGGGTCCCACTCCCACTAAGAAACTAAGCCTTCAACAGCTCGACAAGGTCCGCGTAGTGCTGGCGCAATCAATGCGATTCGCACACTCACTGCGACCCACACTGCGCCATCGACTTACCGTAAAACTATTAACACCCCGACCAAGTCCAGCCCCGACCGCAAAACACCGACGCTTCTGAAGCCCGGGGGCGAAGTCTCGGCGGTGAAATGCCTCCAGCGCATCCTAGGAGGTGCTTTCAAAGCCTTTGAAAACTATTAGTAGGTAAGATCCTCTTAAGCCCAATAAGGGAAAATATAAAATGTCCCAAAGCCCCACCTAGCATCATGGTACAGCTGCAAAAAGCGGCTCGAAGGATGACCATCTGCTGGCCCGGTGACTTCATCGATCAACTCCTCGTAGCTACGAAGCCCTAAACCCTAAACCCCCTGTTCACTAAACCCTACGCCCCTAAAGCCCCCAAATCCTAAAACCCAAACCCTAAACCCTCTGTTCACTAAACCCTACGCCCCCTAAAGCCCCTAAACCCTCAACCCCCAAAGCTCCGGGGGAGGTTGAGGGCCTATATCAGGGTTGATGTTACGGTACCACTCGAAAGGTTCCATGAGGCCTTGCGCTACAAAAGGCCACTGCAAAGGTCGCTCTAAGGGTTACTGTAAGAGTCGGCTCACATACATAGAGCCCTATCTTCTGGCTGTTTCGTTGCTCTAAAGCAAATTCTCGGGCGTATTGTGTGAAGCCTACATAGGGATTCTAGTAGGGGGAGGGTGCCTGGATAGGGGTGGAGGAGTATCCAGGCCTTAACGGTGCCTGATTCCGTCAGTATGATACGCGCCGGGGTCCTTAAAACCTAAAGAAGCGGCCTGAATACATGGAAGCTGTATCCCACTGTAGTGGTTAGCCGTATACTTTAGGCACTGCCCCCTTACAGTAAAAGTCTATAATAGGGCTGCTATTGAGGTCTTAATATATCTATATTACGAACATTATTCAACTATTACTGAGTGGGGGCCGTACCCAACGTATACCACAACAAGGAGCCAAAACCTTGCTTGACATGGTTGGAGGCCTGTTCCCTCATTCACACGAGATCCTAATCCACCGAGGGTTGGGGCTTTGGAGGCTTAACAGCCAGAGGCACGATAATCAGCAGACAATTATGAGGCCGGAGTGTTAGGAAATGCCACCCTCACGTAGTTCTCAATGGGTTCGTGCCTAAGGGGTTTAAGTACACGAGCACGCTCTGGCTGTTTGCTTCAGAGTGTTTTAGATACTGAGGACTGGTGGGGGTTCAGCCAAATACGGTGTCTTCAACAGTTAGAACCAGGTTTTCCTAGGGTTATACATTATACCGTACATATTTATTTAAGGACGAAGATACATCCCGAATTACTCCAACTGCCAGTTTGAGGGGACCATGTGTTGATGACAGCTGAAACTTCCAAGAGTCGCAGTGCGGGCCGAACTCGAGCTTGGGGTTTAGGGTTTTAGGGTTTATGGCTTTAGGGGCTAGGGTTTTCGACGCTCACACGCGCACAAGGCAGGCAAGGCTCCACAGGTTTAGGGTTTTAGGGGACTTAGGATTAGGGGGACCCTGGGGGATATAGACCCTCTCAATAAGGCCCCTTTTAAGAGAGCCAGAAGTAGGGTTTAGAAGGGGTACCCTTTAAGGGGTCTCCCTAATAATACTACCTATTTTAGGGTTTAGGGTTGAGGGCTGCTCTGAGCCCAAAACCCCCCTTTTTCCATCCAGGCATTTTGCCACTGCCGGGTACCTTCCAAGAAAAGAAACCGAGAGCCAACAAAAAAAAGAAACAAGTTCTATACTTTCGTTTTGTGGAGTTTAGCCTGGTTAGGGCTAGGGGTGTTTAGGGGCAGTCTAAAGATTTCAATTTCCTTATAGAAGTCCTTCGAGGTGCGTAGGTTTACGAGGGCCACGGTATAGGTTTATAGTTTTGCAGAACCAGACTCCCAGACTATGGATTTGTAGAGCTTTGGTTGGGTAATTTGTGCTACGGTACTGTGAACAAGAGACGGCCTGCAATCCAGAGGGTCGAGGTACACCGTACGGTTCCCCGGAGGCATATCGAGTTGTATTGGTCGGAATCTCGAACTTGAGCACAGCAAGCAAGAAAACTCCTTTTGTCCAGCCTTGTGGGTAAGTCTCACGTCTTTTAACGAAGAATCACGCTTTCACAAAGGTCAGCAGCGAATCTTGAACCGAAAGTATATCCGTGGTTCAGATCCAGCCGCTACCGACTAACATTCACCGAGTCTGGCATGGAGTTCCCTCGTGGCCTAAACCCATATACTCGACGAACCTTCGGCTGGAGCTCATGGCGGCGAACCCCATGCAACAGCCATGCAACCTGCTCGAACACGTGTTTGATGGTTCCAGTAGAGCGCTAAACCTTACATGCAACCCAAGAGCAGAAAGCAAAAACAATTCTTCCTCTACAAGCAGATGTCAGGAACTCTGAATAAGAAGCCCCGAAAGCGTGGGTTGTTGGGTTACAGGTGAACCTTAGGCTGCTTGCAATGCCTGCGACGAAGGCCACGGCGACACTAGCCACTCAAACTCGGCTCTGCAGTGTCATCTGGAAAAGTCAGGAGCGTGATGTAGGAACCTGATTAAGAAACACTAAGGGCCTTTATTAGGGTTCCTTTAAAGGGGTCTATAAGGGCTACTACCAGGGTACTATAATGATTGTAGGAACCTGATGAAGAAACCTCGGGTCTTGATTTGGGTTCTTTATATGGATCCTGAATATTTGGGGTTAAAGGACCCGGGTTTCTCAATCAGGCTCCTACACTACCCTAAACCCTAAACCCTAAACCCTAAACCCTAAACTACAGCATGTGGCCCCTCAGGATCCTTCAGGCTCCTGCAGTACACTGCAAAATCTCGAAAATGAGACGGCTTTTGCCTTCCTCCGACGTGCAGCTGTACAATGAAAGGAAGCGACTTGCGTTTGCCCAGAGAAGCCACTACCCCTTAACTAAGGACAGAATCCTAAATTAATCCTAGTCAAATTTTGAATCGAGTCGTAACATGAAGCCCAATCCCGTAACCCTAAATAAACTTTTTTGAAAGAGGTCTCTCTGAAGTGCCTCCAGCAATTGAACTTCCCGAAATAAACCCTAAACCCTCAACCCTTATTTTAGGGGTATTGGTCTCTGGGTGTGTCCAGGACTCCAACCCAGGGCTCGGATTGCCCATCGGGTACAGGTTCCTGTTGAGAGGAAAGCACGCGCCGTCGACTACTATATCACTAGAACAGGGTTCCTTTAAAGGGGTCTCTAAGGTCTTCTATAAGGGCTAGTATAAGGGTTCATGTAGGTGCCTTTACTAATTAGAATAGGGTTTTGGGGCCCATGATACTATGAGTATAATAAGGATACCCCCCCAAAAAAAAGGGTATATATATATATATATATATATATATAGGTAATGATTTAGGCCCTACCTTACCCCAAGTAACCTACTTTTTTAAGGACTTATATAAAGAAATCATACTAGGGAACCCTAAAAAGGTAGGTTCCTTAGGGTCCAGGTAAACCCTAAACCCTACATTAGGCCCCTATAATAGGTAATGATTTAGGCCCTAAACCCTAAACCCTATATTAGGCCCCTATAATAGGTACTGATTTAGGCCCTAAACCCTAAACCCTAGGCCTCTATATTATGCACGAGCTCCAGCAGCCTCAGGCCTCGGACCGCAGGTACAGTGATCCTTTTCATAAAGCTATGGAGCTGCAAACTCCCCCATGTCATGCCGGACATCCTTCCGGGAGCAAGGTTTAGGGTTTAGGGTTTATAGAGTTTAGGATTTAGGGCTTATGGGTTTAGGATTTAGGGCTTAGGGTTTATAGGGTTTAGGGTTTAGGGGTTCCGGACATCCATGAGAGCACAGGGTGTTCCACATACAACGTGGGCAACCCGAAGTCCCAAGCTCTCTCCCTCCCCCCCCCCCCCCCTCCCTCCCTCCCTCCCTCCCTCTCTCTCTCTCTCTCTCTCTCTCTCTCTCTCTCTCTCTCTCTCTCTCTCTCTCTCTATCTATCTATCTATCTATCTATATATATATATATATATATAGACATGTATACGCCTGCAGTAAAGGCAAAACCCCGGAAAGCCGGGAACTTTTTTACGGAGCTCTTGCTATAGAAACCCTCTCAGAAACCCAATACACACCAATCCTGCTGCATTCGGAAATTCGGTTGTAGGAACTGGTGCTCAGGAAGCCCGGCAGACGCTTTGCATGCAAAATGCTGCTACAGTGACTGATAAAGCGTCCAGAATGCCTTTATGTCTCCACCGGCAGCTTGAAATGAAAAGAAAGGAGCCTCAACACATTACATTCCGAAACGGAAAACACGACTCGACTGCGAAAGCTTCAGGGTGTAGGGTTTAAGGATACGCGGTACAAGATTGAAAATTCAACTCTTGGCTTTCACTGTCCCGGTGGCCTCCGGCCTGCAGGGATAACAACTCATGCTCCTTCCTTCACGTTCCACAGATCCCGGGGCCCCAGGTACTTAGGTAGTAAGCTACGAACCATATATAATATAAGGTGTTATCCGATATCTCAATATTTCGGTAGCTGGAGCCCTGGAGGTTCTCTCAACTGTCATCAACGACTATTCCGGGATGTAGCGAACCCCAATTTGTAAAAGTTTTCAAGCGGGGGGGGACTGATCGCACCTCCCCCTGGCTGTGAACTCACGGCAGAGTGTGGAGGTCACCTCTCACACCATTGTGGCTAGAGATCGTCGCCATCATAACTTTGCTGGTGGTGGTAACGGCAGTGACGGGGAACATGTGCAGAATAAGATAGACTGTCTTCGAGGTTAGGTTAAGTGGTTCTCTAATTTTAAATAGGCGGTGATGATGGTGAGCTGACGGTGACTGCAGTGACCGTGACCGTCACAAAAAAAAAACATACTGGTGGAACGGCGGCGGCTGATGATGGGCGACGATGATGATGATGATGCTGACGACGGTGATAGAGTTGGCGCGGTTTGGGCCCAAACTACCAATGTTGTCGCTACAGCTGGGGATGCTGTTGTACTGGTGGTCATGGTAATGATGACCACTGTGGTGACGACGACGGTCTAATGCAGGTATACCGGTATACCTTGGTTTCTTGCCCGCTTCCCTTAGGATGCTGCATGCAGCATGCTCCGAAAAGGGCCTTACTCAAATGGAAAGGACGCGGCCTGCCAGAAGCAGCTAACTCGGTTTGGGGTTTAAGGGAGATCGAAACGAGAGGACGGAGGAATCCCTTCAGAATGGTTTCAATAGGGATCCTGTTGCGAAAGTTACGAATATCCATGTAATAATAATGGGCACCAAAACCTTGTTGTAATTCTTAAGGCCCCTATATTACGGCGCTTCAAGAAGGGCGGCTAGTTGCCCACAAGATTATCCTAGTCTTGCTCTGCTTCTCGGCAATGCCAGGTCCTCCCCGATTTCCCGGAGGTGCCTGCTTAAAGCTGCAGCTGGATCTGCATCAGCAAAACTGAGCAGGACACCTTCGGCATTGCCCCCTGCATTCCTGGTCCACATGGATGGAAAAGAAAACCGCAGGGATCAGGGCATTATATGCGGCCTAAAACCAAAACAATGAACCCAAACCCAACCCCTAAACCCTAGGCCCTAAGCCTTAACCCTAAACCCTATGTGGATGAAACGTATCGATGCTTAAGGACTCGCTGAAGTCTCCATGGCATCGTTTTGCCACTCGCCCACTCGACAGCCTCCATCCTGAACCACCTGTTGTACTTGCTCCCTCGCTTACTTAGAAAGAACTGCGAACAATTTCCTGAAGAGGGTCGGCGGGTCGCGCTGCTGCATGCAATACGAGGTGTTCCGGCATGACTTCTACAGTAAACCCCATAACGTTGGGATTACGGCCAAATAGTGCTGGGATTCCCTATGCATTACTCCTAAGGATTGAGGCTACTGGGTTTCCAACTTTTCGGCTTCTACTATACAGGGAACTCCAGAAAGTTGGAATATGGTTTCATGGTAGGATACCCTATAATTTACCTTAAAGGGGTTACGATAATGATATTCCAACTTTCTGGCTTCTACTGTAAGCCCTGAGCATCCTGAACGGACGAGGTGCCAAGTGACGAAACTGAGAAACCACATCTACCTATAGGCCCTAAAGTAGTTGCTTTTTGGGATTACCCTAAGGAGTCCTAAGGAGTCTATATATGAACCCCAGAAAGGAACTACTTTGGGGCCTTAGGGTAGAACCCAGAGAGGCCAACCAGTGGATAGTTGATACTGGTAACTGGCGGCTGTATACTGGCAGAAAAAACTCCTACAACCCTGAACCCTAAACCCCAATAAACCCCATGCACTGTGCCGACCCTGAGTCTCTTTCAGGATTCGGAGGCTTCTCAAGTATCTCACTGCCGAAGATACCTACCGTAAGGCCCCAAAGTAGTTCCGTTTTGGGGTTCATATATAGAATCCTGAGTAATCCCAAAAAAGAACTGCTTTGGGGCCTATAGGTATCGTCTGCCTTGTAGGTCCATTTCTCGGATTCTAACGTTCTTAATGTGAGAGGAACTAATGGAACCGGAACAAAGCAAGAGCCATCCAACTCGCCAAGTGTACTCAGGGGGGTTACGGGAGACTGTTGAAACCATACCTATAGGCACCAAAGTAGTTCCTTTTTGGGATTACCCTATAGGATTATATATATATATATATATGTATATATATATATATATGAACCCCAAAAAGGAACTACTTTGGGGCCTGGGTAAGCGCATCCCAGGCAGAGGATGCCCCGGGAAAAACCGCCAGCAGTGCATGTTTGACTGCCTATCTACCCAGACCTTCCAAAATCCCTTAATTAAGGAATATACTCTATATTATAATAGGATCCCTAATATGATTTAAGGTATATTCCTTAAGGGATTTTGGAAGGTCTGGATCTATAGCTGCTGTTCAATTCCGGTGCTGCTCCTAAAGGGATCACCCTAAACCCTAAACCCCAGGAATGCGGGCAGGGCCTGCCATTTGTCAGGTTTCCATCAGTATTATGCATAGCACCAGCCCCAGCTCCAAGATTTGCAGAGCTCGGTTCTGCCTTTTGCGCTGGCCCACAGAGCTCTTTTTTAGGGATTTAAGGACTCATATATTAAGGCTTTTGAGACCAAAGACCATAACATATGAGGCTTGTGGGCTGTTTTGATCCCTAGAGTTTTATGTGCGTTCTAGTTGACCTGAAAGGGAGCCCATGTTCGTACATAAGGTCCTCTTAAGCCTCAAAGGTGCGCAGATAACTTGGCCCGAAGGCCTACCTAGACATTCAGTTGATGGAGCGAGGTGGCAGGGGTTGTCTGGTTGAGCTTGTATACATGCCTAGAGATACAGCCTAGACTACCTGACCAGAGGAAACCGGAGCTATCTGGGTGGTTGTCAAATTAGGGTCCCTTTTGGGGTCCTTTTTATAGTACGGCACCTAATGTTTTGGGTGCCGAAAAAAGGGACCCTAAATTTGACAACCACCCACCCTAAACCCTAAACCCTCTGCAGGACGGAAGGACCAAGAAGGTAGTGTCCGGCAAATTTCGGCCAATTGAAGCTTCGGGACCAAGGCTGCATACTAGTTCCTTTTTGGGATTACCTTATAGGCTTATAGGATTCTACATATGAACCCCAAAAAGGAACTACTATGGAGCCTCTAGCTAGTTCGTGATGATATAAATCCTGCATTACCTGAAAGGACCCTAAACTATGGGAATTATGGTATATTCCTCATTATGGGTAATGCAGGATTTACCGTAGTTCGATGTTTCTCAGCCCTCAACTTTTAGGTTGTACTGTTACTTCTTGCGCAATGGAGCTGAAGGGAACTTGATCTCACAAACGGAATACCATGCCATTCTGAAGTGGCAAGTCCCCTGAAAGCACGGACTCTATCTGAGCTGTCGTGCTAGGGTCACTGGAAGTTGCATCCTCACCTCGAAGCGGAAGGCCTCCCTTGGGCAATGCTGCTCGCTGCTGTCTTCCTCGGGTTCCTCTGTATCTAGCAGCATCTGCACGCTCCAGGAGGCCTGACAAGAAGTTCCGGGCATAGGGGCAGCTCTCAACAATTCCTTGCCATTCGTCGTGCACTCGAGTGGGAGACATGTCGAAACGCTCCAGGAGCTCTTGAATCTCGCGCTTCACACGGCTTCTCAATGACTTGCGAGGCCGATGTGGCTGTGTGCCAGGGTCATGTCTCTCCAGATGCACGTGGCAGTAAGGGCAGTCAGCACCACGTCCACAGCCACGCTGTGTGTGCAGCAACACACACGGCCGACAGTGGTGGATCCTATGTATACTGAACTTAGACCCCCAGCAAAAATTACAACGTTAGCTGTTTCTTTGGGATTATAATAGCCAAAGATGAAAAACTATTTCTAAGTACCCCTTAAGGATCGTCGCAGAGTCCGTGATCGGGATCGACGTTGATGCAAGAGGCCTGGAAGCCGTGATGAGCTGCTCGGTTGGGATATTGCATTGGCTTGCTGTGCCATACCTGGCTTAAGTAACCAGGGTGAAAAATATACACTTTTATTTCACAACAATGGTTTCTTTAAGAATAGAAGAAATATTAAAGTATGGTACTCCAAAGCCCAGAGACTGACCCAGAATCGAGTCTGATGCGTCTCGAGAGTCTGCCGCCATGGATAGTTGAAACGAGTGTGTGTGTGTGCAATGCCAGCAACTATCTCCCCAGTCGGAGCTAATTTGGCTCTTTCGTTTCATTAACTTCTTGACACCAAGCCCAGATCAAGACCCCGCGAGGGCCAATGACTCGAGAGGCTGCTTTCAACTAGACATGACCGAAACTTTAGGTTGTTACCTAGAGGCTCCATAGTAGTTCCTTTTTGGGGTTCAGATGTAGAATCCTATAAGGTAATCCCAAAAAGGAACTACTATGGAGCCTCTGGGCAACTTATAGACTAGAGGCTTAGAGCCGTATAAATCCGAAGCCCTTAAGCGAAATCATCGGGGCTTCGGGCTTACAAGCTTAATATACAGGTCCCTGGCTCCGTGCACTGCACACACTCTCTGCATGGTGCGTCGTCTCCCGACACTCTAGTGTCTACTGCACTGGCAGCAACACTTGCAAAACTTGAGCCGTAGGTGCGGTCGAGAAAGGAACAAAGACTATCTGAAGCTCGCAGACTTAAAGGGGCTAGTCTTAAGATTTAGGATCGGCTGACAAGCTTCCCGGTTCGTAGAACTGTTGGTTGCAAACACTCGGAAGCCAAGATCGCGAACCACAGCCACGCAATTCCAAATTATCTAATGGAACTTCAGAAACATGGAAATCCCAAAACCGTCAACCCCCAAACATCAAAACACCTCCATCCCTGATCGGCTGCAGCAAGGCAGCGTATACCCAGACAGCCTCCTCCTTGCCCTTCACCTTGACTAGGTCCAGCTTTCGGCACCTTCGGTTGGATTGCAGCTGGATGCTTGATCTGTGCTCGCGTCTGACAACTCAAGGAGCCACGGCTCTGAATATGTAGCTTCCTGAATCTTAAACTGAAACCTACTCAAAGGTGCGACATCTTTGCATGTGTTTTCTTCACGGCTTCAAGCTGCTTACCGTTCCGTCGCCAGCACATGTCGGCTCAGCTGCGCCCTGTATCGAAACACTTCAGTCGAAAGTGCTTCACGGGAAGTTACAAGTCTACCAAATTGCCATCCAATAATAGATCCTCAACCCTGAGGACCGAAGCAAGGATCTACACATGAATAGGGTTTACCCTGAGGCCCCAAAGTAGTTCCTTTTTGGGGTTCATATATAGAAACCTATAGGGTAATCCCAAAAAAGAACTACTTTGGGGCCTATAGGTAGGGTCTAGAGCAAATTTGATGTTCTGCTTGTCCTCACATCGTGAAACCCAACTTTTCTGCGACAAAAAGAATCAGTAAGCCTTGCGTTCGAGTTGTGCCCATCCGGGAGCAAAGCAGGTCACTCTTTTCCTTGGGTCCCCCAGCAATACAAGTGTTGAAGATGTCTGTCGGGCCTAGGCTCAAAGCTCAAGAGAACCGCCCCAAGTCGCCATAAAGCTCCCGATCACGTATCGCAAGACAAGACCCTCTCTCTCTTCAGGGCACTCAGTCGCTGTCAAGCCCCGCCAGCTTCCTACCCTAAACCCTAAAACATCCTAAACCACAAGCCTAACCCCTAAACGCCTAAACCATGACCCCTAACCGACATCGCCCTCATCATATCACCATATCATTCATATCCGTAGACGACTTGCCTTGCTCAGCTTTTCGGCCCCAGAAAGCTTAACCTCTTGACTCTGGTTGGAGTTTACAGCATAACAGCAACTAGTAAACATTAGGGTTTAGGGTGCTAGAAGACGGTGTACACTGTAGACCTACTAGTCAACCCGCTTCTGTCTTCCCGGCATTAATGTTTTAGGATCCGTATTGCATGCATTGTTTTCGCAGGGGGGAGATTAATCAGAGTAAACCCAGAAGGTCTCCCTAAAATTTGAAAGAGTCGGAGACTTAATAATGGCAAGAGGACCTAGTCGAATCGCAACAGCAATAGTAACCCTGCGCCCTAGGCACTCTCGGATGTCGTTTCGATCGCCAGGCCCTAAAAGGATCGAGGTACGCGGCTTCCCCCAAGTACCTAAACCGCTCTAAATAGAATGATTGTCGAAAATAGCGATACTAGTGGGCACTCCAGCTCGAGTCTACTGAAGGGCAAACTGTGGGGTGTTGGACTGCCTACTTGGAGGTTCATGCGTAGTTATAAGTGGGGTCATAAGTCCCCTAAGTTATAGCTAGATTTAGTTACCTTACTTATAACCCCACTTCTAACTCCCCTATGAACCTCCAAGTAGAGTTTGACTATGGTCTGAAAAGTGCACAGGGCTTCGGGGATAACAGTTTGTCGGCTCAGGGTCTAAGATAGGCTTGGGTTGGCGGTTAGAGTCTAGGGCTTTAGGATAAAATTAAGGTACTTCGGGGTTGCGAGTTTAAGGTAAGGTTCCTGGAAACATGTTCGGTTTAGGGTTTAGGGGTACCTGTACTCCTGGCCTGCAAGAGAAGCATCCCAAATCCCCCAAAACATGTGGAGGCGCAGGAAGGTGTTCGGCAAAGTCATGCGCGTCGCATCTGAGCAGAGTGTGCCCACGCCGTAGTGCTTGGCGAGGCCTCCAGGGTGTTGCCTAATACAGGGGCCTTAGTTTATTGGAATAGGGTACCTTTGAAGTGTTTTGATTGTCAAGAACTACATAATTAGAAAAGGGTCTTGGTATACATTAATTAAATGATCCCATGTCCCTTTCAGGGTTGTTCGGGGTTAGGGTAAAGCATGGCCATACTGCTGCCTTCAAGTCGGCTGGCAAGATTGATGGGGTCGCCCATGCAGCCATACCTTCGCGGGGGCAAAAGCACTTGCGTGGTTTCCATAAGCCACTGTCATGAGGGCCCGTCGCACCGGCTAGACCCCAAACCCTGAACCCTACGCCCTGGCTAGACACTGTAGGTCCTCTTGGCTATCCCAACCCAGCCTTAATTCAGCACCCTGTATACCTGAACGCTAAGACGCTATAGACACTGTGGCTAAGCCCTACTTAGCTAAGACGGGCAGGCTGCTCATTGAACGAAAATTTGCTCCTCTACGGCTCACAATCATAAATGCGAAAATTTGCGAGTGCTTTCTGCCAGCCCTCTCACCGCACGTTTCGGGCTTGGAGACACGTCGGGTGTCGCGTTTGGGTGTGCAAGCCCTGGTTAAAGCTGCTGGGATAGCACCAACTTGCGCGCAATATCATGGAATCAGCATCTGCTGCACTGCAGCCTCAATTCAATGCTCAAAAGCATGGCTCCTTGAACTTTGCTCTTGCTCTTGAGGCTTCTGTCGTAGGGTGAAAGTATTTGAAAGTGATTTTGTGCGTGTAAAGCTTACGGTCTTCTTCTTCTTCCACAGGGCTTAAGGGAGTGGTTAGGCCCCCCGGCCTCGTGGGCCCCCCGTTTGTTACGGGGCTTTCGGCAGGGCGTGAGCAAACGTGGAATCCCCCAGTTTAGGCCAAGCTCTCTCTCTCTCTCTCTCTCTCTCTCTCTCTCTCTCTCTCTCACGAACTCATTCATTAAAGCGCTGCGCAAAGGGAAAGCTACAATTGAGCGAAGGCACTTCATTTTCTTGTTGCTGCCTATGTTGCCAGCAAGCACATCCTCAGCTGGCCAACTATAAACTGGTGGCGCGCGCGCACATGCGTAGCCCAGATCCGACGTGCAACCCCGGCTTCTGATACCAGAGAAAAAAGACTGTAATGAAAGCACCACTCGAGTGGTTGTGCAGTTGATGCCGCTGACACACCAAGTGCCTCCCTCCAGTATTGGGATGAGGGCCATGATGTACAAACGGCGAACTTCTCCCAACGATGATGACTTCAATGCTCATCACGTGGGCGACAGTCATGGTAGCCGTGGGATGCCCAGGTAGATTATGAGCCATGTCCTGATAAAGGACGATGGCGATATATGGCGATGACACAACGTAAAGACGGTGCGTATGTGCGTGTGTGTATTCATAAAGTACAAATATCAACACACACACACACACATGCACACACATCATTTTTATGCATATACTTAATTTGTATATTTATGCCCGTATTGGTATGTATACTTGAATTTATGTATGTGTATAAGTATACATATATATATATATCTATTCATGTTGTTATTAAATGAAGGTATGTCGTTGAATATAAAAATATACAGGTGATGGTCAGAATGGTGATGCTGTCGCTGCTGCTCATGTCGTTGTTGTTGCGGGCGAACGAGGCGATGACGTCTCTGGTCGAGCGATACTTTATTGAGCCTCGCTCTCCTTCTGGACGGTGGCAACCACAGCAATGTTGATGCTTTACCGTCACTGATGAAGATGATGATGGCTTTGGCATCAACAGCAAGCCATAGTCTACGGTGGTGATGTCGGCCACGACGACGACCGCAGCCAACATGAGATGGTGATGGTGCAGAAAGTGTTGGTGAGTTTGCAGCTGAGTTTGGCGACTCAACGACCGTTGATCAAGAAAGCATGAGGATGTAGATGCGGAAACGGCTGATCACCAAGACCTGATGATCATGATCTCTCCAACTTCTACGGTGCAACATCGTCTGTATGTTATTGGGAACAACCCTAAATCCCTAAACCCTAAACCCCTAACAGGGTGACCCTGCCGACTGGACAGTTCCCAAACCCAAGTCCCTGACTGCCTTTCTTCAAGGAAAACATCCCTCAGCCCTCACTGAACCTGCAAACCCTTCAAGTAGTGCGATCCCAAATTGATTTAAAACTGTATAGTCCCCGCTTGTGGGCGGTGGGGCACTGTGCTGAAAAGCCTTGTAAACAATGACATACACATAGATGGTACTCCCCGATATATACCTGTATACATATATCCGTCCATCCGGCCGGCCAGCCAGCCACCCATCCATGCACGCACGCGTACATACATACATACATACATACGTATATACGCATACAGTGTACACATTGTAAATCCCTGAAAAACCGATGCCACTGGCGAGATCGGGGCCGGGTGTCTCCCGTGTGAATGCCAATGCGTATCCTGGGCTGCGAGGGTTTAGGGTTTAGGGTTTAGGTTGCTTGCAAAACCCATCAAGTTTAGGGCTTCAGGGTTTAGGGTGTAGGGCTAGGATGGGCTAGGGCATGGGTTTTAGAGTGGCAGTTCTGTAACTCTATAGGGGGTCAACAGGGGGAGTCGGAGGTTTATGGGACTTGGAGCTTTAGGATTGGGCGGTAGCGCCCTAGGGCTTTGAGGTTTACACCTTTGGAAAAGTATCCACGTAGTGGCGTATTCCACGTGATCTCCCGCTAATATAACCCTCTGCATGCCAAAGCTCACAAACCCTAAACTCAAAGGGCAAAAGGAGGGACCCTTAATGGGGACCCCTACCCTATAGTGGGCTATATAGTGGGTATAGAATAGCTATATTAAGGGTATATACCTAGGGGTCCTTATTAAGGGTCCCTCCTTTTACCCTTGTGGATAAACCTTAAGTGACAGCCTTTCTGCATGTTCTGGAGAGTGTCGCCACGCTGGGAAGTCCAAGGCCCGCGAAAGTGGCATTCAGCTTCGGGAGTGCCTTCGTTTGGGTTTGTTGGGGGGTTTATAGGATGGAGGATGTCGGGGTTCGGGGTTCCTTTAAGGGTCCCTTTAAAGGGATCTCTATAGGGAATCTGTAAGGGTATAGGGTTAAGGGTCTACTTGGAGGTTCATTTGTAATTATAAGTGGGGTTATAAGCAGGGTAGCTATCGTTATAACCCATATTAGGGGACTTATAACCCGGCTTATAACTATCCCATGAACCTCCAAGTAGAGTTGGCGGATGTCTGTACCGGGAATGTTGGTTTTCGGGCTGAGGGTGTGGAGTTCGGATGTCAGGCTTAGGGGCGTTTGGCATGTCTACGGACTTGTTTTAATTATGCGGGGTGTGGTCGGGATTCCAGTCGGAATTCCTTCAGGGGTCGACGTAGCTTGGCTGCGGAGCCCGAAACCCCTGCACCCTAGAGGCTTGCACGGTTTAGGAATTCAGGGTTCTGGTTCAGGGTTTATGGCTTAACGGCTCTCCACGGTAGCTGTTCACTTTGTGTGTTCCGCTGCTGCAAAGAAACTACGAAGTTGATAGACCAACAAGAAGAGGGAACTAGCTACAGCGGAGACTCGAGGTGAGGGCCTGGATTCGTTGAGCGAAGTCTCGGTGCACACATCATGCAGTACAGTTGGCACTTAGAGCCTTGCAGGAAAAGAACTACCCGATTAGCAGCGGATGAACTTTAAGTTGCTGAGCTTGCCTTCTGCTGGGCGATGGCCGCAGAGCAGGCTGCGACATTATGGTCCTTCCGGCTGTAGGCTTGGATTGGGGATGGAGTTTCGTCTTAGACGGGCACAAAGACTGAATCGGAACCTGTAGCAAGAACTACAGCTACCATTACTTAGAACTCCAATTAGTGTACAGATATACATGTATAATGTAAGGGCCTGAATAATTAGAATAGGGTTTGGGAGGGCCATTCTACTATAATCATAATAAGGAACCACCAAAATATGATAGGTAATTATATTGTTAAGGTCCCTATATTACATCTCTACACTCGACGCCTGCCCACAGATTGATCAACCAAAAATAAGAATCCGAGAGCCCCGGAGCAATGCTCCAGTAGCGATCGGCGTCTGCGGTGTGGGACGCTCTATCACTGAGGCTCTGAGGACTCATATATTAAGGCTTTTGATTTGGGCCCAAAGACCATACTATATAAGGCTTCTGGGCCTTTTTGAGCCTGAGGGTATGGGAGTTTCCGAAAATTAGGGGGTACCCTATTTGGGGTCCTTATAATAGGGATCCTAATAACCTAATATTTGGGGTACTATATCAGGGTCCCCTATTTTGGGAAACCCCATATGAAACGGAACAAAGGTCAGTGTCACTGATCTTTGCATCCCGAACCTCACTTCCTCATTGAAAGACGTGTCAAAGGAACGCTAATCGGAACGTGAATACGGATCAGGGTCTCAACTTGTTTAAGGGTTCTGGGGCAACTTGAAGCTCCATCTGAACTGATCTGAACTGACAATTTAGGAACCTGATTAAGAAACCTTGGGCCCTCCTTATATGAATCCTACTGTTTGGGGGGTATAGGCCCAGGGTTTCTTAATCAGGCTCCTACATTAATTACATTGCTTTCTTCCGCTCAAGCTTTAGTGAAAGCCCATAGGGCTTGAAGATTCTAGTCGTCGCGTTGTCAAAGCTTGACTACTTGGAGGTTCATGGCTAGTTATAAGTGGAGTTTTAAGTACACGGTAAGTATAATTATAACCCATATTAGGCGACTTATAACCCCACTTATAACTACCCATGAACCTCCAAGTATTGCAGAGGCCACTCCATAATCAGGCCCTCGCAAAGGTCCAGCGCAAATGCAGCAGCATGGTTTTGGTTGCATTTGCCCTGAAGCCTCAAACCCTGAAGCTCAACCGGGCCCAGGAACCCTCACCCTTTTACGCCTGGACTACGCATATGCCAGGAACCGAGGCGCCGACTTTCACCCTAAACCCTAAACCCCACAGCAGAACTCTTTCAACCCAACCTGCACGAACTCCAAAGGCTCCGATTTGGGGGCTTCCGGCTGCTTTTCGCTAGCCGTGTCGATTTGGTTCCTCTTGGGAGTTTCGAAGTTTTAGCTAGGTTCCTGAGCAAGCCCTTTATGATAAGGGTACCCTTTTTCCTACTATTCGGTTTCATATGGGAACCCTAAACTAAAAAGGGCAACGGGGTACCACTCAAAAACCTAGTTAAGCTTAACTGAGGTCTTGGCGTTTGGGTTTGGGGTGTGTTAAGGTTCAGGTTTTCTGGCCAACGCCCCGAACTGTCGCAATTTGCCCGCTTACAGCCCAAACCCGAAGCCCTAAAACCACATCCCAAGCGCAAGGTACAGCGCTGCTTCTCGGCTGGAGACACACAGCCGCAACTACGTGCTACTCCACTGCACCTGATGCCCGCCTCCTATGTACTTTCATTCTTTACCAGAAGCGAGCAAGTCATCAGGGCTTACAGGGAGGTTCCCACAATCCTTTCCCCATGTACTGCTGCGATTCAAGGTTTTGCGAGCCCAATGTGGTCTATGTATGAGCTAACACAAGGAATGCGGGCGCATGCCAATCCTCCACAAACAATGGGAAGCCAGAAAAAAGTATGTGCTGCGCCACAGTACGAGACTTTGGGAGACGTCGGGCGCGTCATGTGTAAATAATTGGGCCCGGGGGGCAGCAAGTCATTTTTCCGCGTGTGCCGCGCGGCCGCTTCAATCAGATCTCTCATGTATGTATAAGTAGGGAACCGCCTATAAATTTACCACGAATAAACTCCCTATATAAAAACCTGCCCTACTCCATGCCGATCCTGGAGGTCGTCTGGCGTGTTCCAGAGTACCAACAAGCCGTCCCCCAAGATCTCCTTGTAGGCTGTATATAGGGCTTCAGAAAGCGCTTGTTTAACAAAGGGTCGTTCCAAAGGTGTTTTGATTTGTTCTGAAGGGCTTTAAAGCATGGTATTTAATGTCGGGCCTGAATAGTTAGACTCGTGTTTGGAGAGGTTCTACACTCGAACTATATGTCTAGGACCCCTTCAGAGATATCATTTCACATGTTTCAGGCTCACCCTCATGTAGACACTAGCGTCACTAGCGAAGCCGTCAAGTGAAAGAAGCTCAAACCCAAAACCCAAAAACCGGTCACTGGTACAGCAGCAGGGCATCCCAGTCCCACATCACGCGGCTAAGCCCTAAACGACGTACACGCAACGTAGGGCCCGGATCCTCTAACCCAAAGGATCCCATGTACTGTTATGCGGGGGATACTTCCCTAAGGCATAATTCCTAATATGGAAACCCTACATTCTACTATATCGGCACAGAGGACCCTTTGGGTAAGGCTCCGACCTAAGACCACGCCTCGAGTTTGCAAGCCTGTTGGGACCAGTGTCCTTCGTGCCGAAAGCCTGGCTCATAAACTCTACCTAGAGTCTCCATTGTAGATCCTTCTTTTTGGTTAACCAGTTTTATGGTTAGGATCCTATAATAGTTAACCAAAAAAAGGAACTACAATGGAGACTATAGGTAGCCCACTGCAAGGTAAGCCATGCCTTGGTTGCCAAACCCTGCAAGCCGAACACTGCAAAACCACCCTCTAGAACTTTAGAGCCCTTCTTTTTCTCTATTCCACTCCATTTCATCTAACGTCATCGAGCCTCTGCTAATTATATGGCATCTGCACATGTTTCTGCCAAGCGTAATCTTTACATAACCTTAAAGAACCTCTACTTGTTGGAGAAGAACGTCATGTACTGATGTATCATGCAAAATGAACTAGCAAAGTTCGTGAACCCTAAATCCTGAATACCATGGCCCCTTTGAAGACCGCACTGACTGCAGGACAATGGTGACACGTTCCATGTTCCGATTGTGCGTGGAAAGCAGCGATGTTTGCGAAGTACAGGCGGCCATGTTGCATGCCACAAAGCCATAAAACTTCGACCCTGGCCCAAAACACAAACCACCTCTGTGGGTCATCCCATCGGCAATACGTGCCTTAAATAATCAACTCAATAGTGGCTTCGGGCATATTGCAATACATTATTCCAATACGAACCATATGGAATAGCATTGCTAACTATTGAGGCCCCAATATCACGCAAAGCTCTACTTGAGCCCAGGGTTCACTCACAACGCCGCCCATGCGTTCAACGATCTTCGTCATCTCACTGAGGTAGAGGTACAGCAGGGTGAGTAAGTCCTCGTAGGCTTCGGGTTGTCCAGGACCCCCCCAAGTACCCTATGGAGCCTTTATGGTCCTTAATTGAGGAAGGTATGTATGTATGCAAGTGTATATCAGTGAACCTGTATACATACGTATACATATACATATATGTGTGTATATATATATATAGTACATAAATACATGCACATCCATTAGTTCTCTTTTGTAGGTGATTATCACATAGCCATGGTGTAACAATGGCGACACTGTAACCGCAACCTAGGCGAAAACCGCATCTTCTGCAGGGCTGCTCCTATAAGCCGATGAAGTTTACGCCAACAGCCCGCATGCAAAGTAATAACAACCTTTAGGGTTTAGGGTTGCAACGTTCTTTTGCAAAGCCAAACCCTTCGATCCATACGCGCTAAGCATTAAAGCTGTATTCCCGCTCAGGATTAGCTATTCAAAGTCATGCCGTTGGCCCCTTGCGCGGGTCCTCTTGCGACAGCACCTCTGATATGGATGTGAAGCCCCGGATGTCAGAAAACATGATCGTCACCTGCACAGGGTCGGTCTTGGGTCTGTCTTGGCCCCCCCACGTTGAGGCTGGCAGCTAAGCCGTCTGCTATGATGCACTGGTTAGCATATTTGGGAGTTTCCGAAAATAGGGGACCTAATATAGTACGATAGTTAGTAGGATCCTTAATATAAGGACCCCCAAAGAAGGCACCCGGAAACTCCCATTTGGCTGTCGGGCTTCGTGAAAGGGGGGCAACTTGAAGACTGCTGGCGCTGCTGAAGGATGCCTACGTGTCGGGTATCACGGGGAACTAAAGGTAAACCTTTTTGGCTATAAAGGGATTATACAGGGACTATACTACCCAAAAAGGTTACCTACTCGACTACTGGGGATGATAACATCCTTTGGCGGCTGCTTGTTGGGGATACCATGCCTGACGCCTGCGGACATTGATGGTGGTGGAGTTGCGATCCCCACGGAGTATCCTTCGCACCTGCGGGCACCAAAAGGCCGGTGCAAGACAAGATGTGAGGTACGGCCTGAATTTGTAGTGAATCGGACAAGCATAGGCCCAAAACCTAAACCTTAGAACACCAAGCCCTTTAAACCCAAAGCACAACATGCCCACACCCCCGAAGCTTCTGGAGAATCTGTCTACACCGCCGGGCTTCGATCGCTTGTTATCCTAGACCCTACGCTGGAGAATTAGAGGTATTGGCGAGCTCAGTCAGTTCGTGAGCAGCAACAGTATGCGCACCGACTCCGAAAGCAGTCCTCATATCGCAAGGATCCAAGAGCCCCAGCCCTCCGCCCTACTTGCCTAAACCGCAAACCCTAACTTGAAGGCCGAAAGCACCACAGTCTCCGGCACAAAGCGGGCGAAACACTCCACCTCAGCAGGTAGGCTTTCGGATAAGGGTTGCAGGTTCATGGTCCTCAAACCTGAAAGATCCAGGGATCTTACTCGAAGGATAGGGTTTTGTGGAAAATTCTGGTAGACTTATTATAGTCTGGAACCCCAAGGAACAGACTCGGAAGTTGTTTAAGCTTCCTTAGTATATAGTGGTCTTGATCATAACCAAAAGGGCCTTTGACACTGGATTTTCACGTACAATTTACACTTACGCAAAGGAAGAAGCTTCGGTTCGCTATGGATTCTATTCGGGCTCCCCCCTTGAGGCTGAATAGCTCTGAGCCCTGAACTCAAGCCAAACATCTCGACTCAGAACCAGCGTACCTGCCCGATGGGATTTTCAGAAACTAGATTGAGGTTGGGCTATAAGAAGGATAACCCGATTGAAGAACTTAAGACTCACTCAAGCCCACCCCAAGCATCTACGCATGGCTAACCTGCCTGACCATAAGCCCTACTTGGAGGTTCATGGCTTCCATGAACCTCTAAGCAGAGACAGGACCCTCAGCTTCCAACTTGCTCACCAGGCCTCGTACAGTATGCGGTCTTTTGCCCCTGCTAACCTTAAACTTTGAGCTGTTTTTTTAGACGCTCCTTTTCTGTGCGCCGTTGGTTTAGGGTTTAGGGTAGGGCTCAGGGTTTAAGATTAAAAATGGAGAGTTTACACCGCCAAAACGTATCAGATTAGAATGACAATCATGTTAATTCAGGTGGAACCCTTTGTGAACCCACAGAAGAGTGGTATCTCTCTCGCTCTCTGCCGTGCTATCACCAAGAGTCTGGCAATGCAAGGGCACGAAATCGCAGGCTGGAATATCAGGAGGCATCAGAAGAGTCATATACAACCCTACAACCTGGAAAGCTCTCAGCAAAACCCTTAGAAAGCTTGACAAAGCCCTAAACTCCAAACACCAACCTTCCAGCATATGACTACATAAGAAGACCCCAAACGTTCCTTAGGAGAACCGTTAAGATTGACCCTAAGTCCTAAACCCTGAAAATCCACCCTGGGAACCCTCCGCCCTAAACCCCTAAAGGAACCTAAACCCCACCCCGTCCCGAAATCCCCCCTAAACCCGAAACCCCTAAACTTTAAACCCTAAACCCCTAAACTTTAAACCCTAAACCCTCAACCCTTTAACTTTAAACCCTAAACCCTAAACCGCTGAAGGCGACTTTGTAGAGGAAGCAAAGCAGCGCTTCGAGCCAGGTTGAGGAACCCAAGCTGGAGCTCAGCGACCTGCTCACATCCCGGGACCCAAGCAGCCCAATATCCCCCCCAGGGATTTGGGGCTCCAGGGGTTTAGGTTTCAGGGTTTAGGGTCTAGGGTTTTGGGGGACTTAGCAAGTAGTTAGTATATAGAGTTATAAGTACCTTAATAGGGATCCTAATTAATTGGGGTTATGGTACTTATAACTCTATAAAATACCTAGTTACTAAGTCCCCCGACCCTCCAAGTAGGATGCCGAGTAACATAGGAATGAAAAGGGTTCCCTCTTTGGTATTGAGTAACTTTATAAGGAACCTAGGACTACAAAAAAGGAATAAGGGTACTACTGGGCATCCTAGCCCCAATTTAAGGAGCATGATTTAGGGGCCTCAATAATCAGAAATGGGTTTTGGAGCAAAGTCTACTATACTTATAGTAATTATTACCTATAAATAGTATAGGTAATCATCTAAGCCCCGATATTACACCCCAGTTGAAGGAACATAGCTGGAGGCTCCAAAGTAGTTCCTTTTGCGGGGGCTCATATTTATAATCCTTTAAGATAAGAGAACCCAGAAACCCCATAGCCGCCAATTTACGCAACATGGCTTATTTCATGAAATGAGCAGTACTGCGTAATTTAAGGAAGTTAGCGTAATTCATAGTATGAAGTCTCTTATATTCATAGCTAGCTACTAAGAAACAGGGGAGCCGCTCCCTTGAGGTCCGTTCGGGGATCCAGATCGGATTTTGGAGGGTTCCTGAAAATGGGGTTTAGGGTTTAGATTACGCACTGCGTAGCGTTTCGGTTTCGGATTTCGGTGCTTTATTTGTTGAAGGCGGTGGTTTGGGCTCTAAGTTCAGGACTGGGGTTCCTGCCTCACCACAGGCCCAGAGCGCCGAGACCCTAGGAGCTCTCTAAGTTGGGGTTTCGGGTTTCGGGGCTTAGGAGTTTATGCTCAAAGCAGTCCGGCAGAAGGCCGTGTAGGAGGTTCAAGGTTCATGCATGGAGTTCGGAAGCGCTCTGATCCCAGCTGTCATCTCGGGCAAAACACAGTTTAAAGGTACTTGTCATTCTCTTCAAGGCTTCTTTACGCCATCCACCGATTTGCCTTCCGTTCCAGACAGCCACTTGCCAGCCTCTTTGTGGGCTTCGGAGTTTAGGGGGTTAGTTGGGGGTTTACACTCTTGCAAATCCGGGTTTGGGGGTTTAGGCGTATGAAGCGTTCAATGATTTAGGGTTTGGGCTCACGCCTGGAACGAATTGAACCTGGTTAAGTTCAGCCCCACCCTCGCCCAACCCCAAACCCTGTGTAATAGAAGCAGACACCCAAGGGTAAAAGAAGGGACCCTCAATAAGGACTCCTAGGCATATACCCTTAAAAAAGCTATTATAAACCCATGTTACGGTCCATTATAGGGCCTATTATAGGGTAAGGGTCCCATTAAGGGTCCCTCCTTTTGCCCTTTGAAGACACCAGGCCCCACAATCCGAACACTAAGAATCCGGAGACCTGACCATTGTGCTACAGGCGGGCTCGCCAGCTCTGAACCAAATATGGGAACCTTATGTTGGGGTCCTTGTAATAAGGATCGTTTTTAAGGTACTGTACTATATTGGGGTCCCCCATTTTCGGAAACTCCCACATGTAGTTGTCATGACATTCAGGCCCTCGATCGTTGGCCTCCCGCAACGGAGAGAGCCGGAGCTCGATGGACTTGTCAAGGCCTGCAGACACGCCAGGCTTTTCCAGAGTTACGGCTCGATTGATTCCGTGTACTTGGAGGTTCATGGGCTATAAGTCCCCTAGTATAGGTTATATCTATGGTTACCTTACTTAAACCCCCACTTACAACTACCATGCACCTCCAAGTCAGTGAGGCTTACTGTAACTTTCTCTGCTGAACTTGACGCTGCTTGTATGTAAACATAACAAATGGATGTGGTGCCCAACTCAAAGGACGATATTATACACTATGCTATGCCATACTATAATATGAAGACCAGTAAGACTATATTGCTGTAATACACTATACGGTAATGTACTATAGCATATTCTGTCAAACCCTTTCTGACTCTGATTGCCTGGAAGCCCATGGAAGTCCAAAACCGCCAGCTTGCGCAGATAGTCCAGCAACCTGACAGACTTGGAGGTTCATGGGTGGTTATAAGTGACGTTATAAGTCCCCTGATACGGATTGTAACTACAGTTACATTACTTAGAACCCCACTTATAACTACCCATGAACCTCCAAGTAGGCCCTAAACCCCATTTTTAAGGGACCCTTATAGGAACCCTTATAACTACCCATGAACCTCCAAGAGGGAAGGCTTTGGGTTTAGTCGGGGCTTGGAAGGTTAAGGGCAACCTCACCGAAAGTCTTGTCGGACATTAGACCCCCTCTCATCAGAACATAAGCAAAGCCCGTCGCGGAGCCATACAATTGCCTGGCGGGGCACGGGCGTTTCTTGTCGGGCCAACCGAAAGTCTTGTCGGACATTAGACCCCCTCTCACCTCAGGGTTCACGAGGAACCACGAAGTGCCATTTAAATGGAGCCCTTATGGTCGTTAATAGTCGGGTATTTAAGTTATGATCGAGGATAGTTTGGGTGTCCCAGGTAGGGTTTAGGGCTAATATGGCAGCCTTAAAGATTGGAATAGGGTTTTGGGGCCCATTCTACTATAATCAGGTACCCCCAAATGAATTTTGTGATCTGAATTATTAAAACCCTTCTATTAGTTAGGGTTCGGAGGGTTGAGGCTGTTTTCCAACCAGGTCAACAAGTAGACTTGGAGGTTCATGGGGAGCTATAAGTGGGGTTATAAGTAAGGTAACTAATTATAGTTACAACCCATATTAGGGGAATTATAATCCCACTTAGAACCATGAACCTCCAAGTAAGAGCTGCACCGGGACCAGTGTGCAAAGCTGTGCTAGCCCTATATCCGCAAACCCATAATCACAGCAATACGAGCACCGCCTATCTAAAGCGTCATGGGTAGCTGTAAACCTGCCAGCGGTTTCGACTACTTCAGGCCAAGCGAAAGCATGCTGCTAACTTTTCCTACAGCACGGCTGCAAATTACGCATAAGCTTTCAAGCGATCTCCAGACTTCAGAAAGACAGCAGCTGGCCTGTCAAGAGATCTGACCGCCACGGTGCTGATGATCCAACCTCCGCCGGCAGCATGGCTTTTGGTTTACAGAAGCTTTGAGCGGAACCCGGATAAAAAGACAAAACCCGCAACACACAATCACAAATTCCGCAAACCTCAAGCACAAGCTATAACAATCTGTGGACATCAACACATTCTTCATTTTCCCAGCCGTGTCTTGTCTGACAAACTCATACATTCATGGACAACAACCGAACATGCTGCAGCCAATATGCGGGCCTTAGCAAGTCAAGTAGGTTTCACAGCTCTTGCAGCAAAATGCTTGAAGTTTGAGTCGGATTGAGGGATCTTGGTGCACTTTGTTCCACTGGGCCACTGAAAGGTTGCTTCCTTCAAGCCGGGTCGTAACGCCTGCCGCAGCTTGGAAACCCCGAACTCACATGAATCGGCCACTTGTGAACCTCATCCCAATTAAAGCATAAACCCTGAAGCCTTAACCGATTGAGAGCCAGCCCCCCCCAGCTGTCACGGTGTACATAGAGGCGTTGCAGGATGTGCTATCAGCAAGTTCTATAGAGTTATAGGACTTGTGTTGGTGCAATAGCTTCTCTTTTTTGGTAAAGGGATGTAAAGGGGCCCTATAACAGTTTGACAGCGACAGGGTCAATACGGGCGCAGTGCCCTTCTACTTGTCGCCTGCGCACTGCCCAGGTCTGTATTGTCGAAATGCCGGGTTCATGCTCAGCACCATACACTATGATACTCCAGTAAAACCACCAAAAACGAAAAACAACATCCGAGTGTGGCCACGTGTCTATATGCGGTTTTACAGCAATTCGCTGTTCTCGGCATCCGACAACTGATTGAACACAAAACCGGGAATGCTTCATGACAATCACCTCGATGCACACAGGGTTATGCATTTTATTGGGCAAAGCATCTGGACATCAAGCAAGAAGGTGCACATGTGTACATCGTGAACAATGAAAGAGCAAAACGATGAACTAACTGAAGAGGGAGGGAGAGAGAGAGAGAGAGAGAGAGAGAGAGAGAGAGAGAGAGAGAGAGAGAGAGAGAGAGAGAGAGAGAGAGAGAGAGAGAGAGAGAGAAGGAGGGGAGAGCCCGAAACCTCGGACCTTCAACCCGAAACCCGGCTTTAACGAGACAAACCTCTTTCGTAAATCCTGAACCGAGAGGCAGGGACAGAGGGGGAGAGAGAGAGAGAGAGACAAAAAGCGAGATTGTCTCGCCTGCCGACAGAACGAAAAAGACCTTGGCTTGGAATTGGAGCTTTTTATTCGGAGCTCGGGCGCTAGTTACTGAGGATGAGTTCAGGGTTTATCCCTGTGGGTTTTGTGTTCCTGGGCTTCGACCTGCTTCTCTGCCAGACATCGAGCACACATGTAGTGGTACAGTCTATCGAAACAAGAAAGAGACTGGAAGACTAGTTGGTCTAAGCAGACAGTGATGGAACTCTCTGTCAACCACTTTTATGTAGCTAGCAGGATGCAGAAGCAACGCTGATACGAACTGCAACAATGCTTTTGACCTTGCCCTTGATCTGTCACGTGATTGAATTCCCCCGTATCTCAGAGATTGAACATTGTAATAACAACACTGAGATGAATCTCGGGCTATCCTGACATTTTGACTACATCAAAGAGTGCACGTGGAGTCCGAAGGAAGTCAAGTGATAAATGTTGGCCCTAAGCTTGGAAAATTGGGTTTCGGATTAAAGGAAGGAGTCTTAGCAAGAACTTCTTCATGTGGGGGTTTGTCAAAACTAGGGTCCCTTTTTGGGTCTTTCAATATAATACGGCACCTAACATTTAGGATGCTCAAAAAGGGACCATAGTTTTGACAACTACCCATGTGTTCGCTTCATGTCTATCCTCCGCTAGCACTCTGTTGGCCGTTTCGACGTGACGGCTTACGGGGTCGACATGCAAGTATCCACGTTTGGCATTCCACTGTGCGTGTACTACATATATATATATATATGTATATATACATACATATATATATATATATATATTTATACATATATATGTATACACACACACACACAAATACCGAGCTTTTCATGACAGCGAAGCCCCCACCGATGACCCACATGCGCGGAACTTGAGACCAAGAGTTTAAAGCCTGCACTGCCTACACTGACATGGCACAAGACGAATTCTAAATGCTGAGCCGTCGGTTCAGTGCCGACAGCAGGATTCTACCGCAGGTGTTGGAACGATTCTGAATCTGATTTTCGAGCTCATTCCTTGATTGAGAAGGCTGTTAAAGCCAGCTCACCCTGTAAAATCACACAAGGCTTAGAAGCGATACTGATGACGTGGGTTCTTACCTTACACGCACTTCAGGGCAGGGAGTATACTAATCACCGCCTACATTACCCTTCTGCAACAACCTCAACCTAAAATTTAAACCCCAAAGCCCTGAACCCTGTAGTACGCTTCTGCGACACGGTTGCTGCAGCACAGACCAACAGCGCCGCCTTCCTCCAGGTGTCTGCGCGCGCTGCTTGAATGGCGTCCCTGATTAGGGTTCAGATGAGCCAAAGCCCAAATCTGCGGCCCCCAAACCCTAACTTAAGCGAATTCAGGCTTCATGGACCCTAGTTGTTTTGTAATAATTATTGGTCACATTATAGGTCGTTACCGACTATTTCGTAGGGTCTGCGGCCGCAGTTGCACATGTAAGAAACCAGAGACTCCAAAACTAAAAGCAGAACGACGGAGCCTCTGGGAAGCATGCACCTTCAGACACTTCCTGAAGGTTCAGTCGCAGGGTTCTGTTGCGCGTTACTGTAACTGTTACGGTGAAACATCGTGGCTAATGCCCTATTTAGGGTATTGATTGTAGCTCTGCTACAAGAGTGAGCTGGCGCGCAGAGCGATTGCCAGGAGACCGAGTCCGGGGGAGAGTGAATAAGGTTCGCCGCACTAAGAAATCGTCCACTGAGCAGCGCAGTTACACTTATCGATTATTGCCTCATTAATGATTCTGGTTTTCCCAAGGAATCTTGCATCACTACCCTTGAAGTTCCGATGGCTGTCTTTCGATGATCAGGTGCCCGACCCGAGAGGGCATTAATGTCGGAACCACATTAAGCAACCCCGGGTTCATACTATGTTCCAATGTTAAGAGTACATAACATCCTAGGGGACTCTTACCCCCTTTTTCTAAGGGTCCTTATGTTGAGGCGGTCACTTAAACCTCGTCTTCCTACCCAGAGAGTCCAATATCCCTTAATTAAGGAATATAGTCTAAATCGTTTGATTGACCCTAGAGGCTCATATCCTACCCTTTTTTTAATAGGGCGCCTACTTTTTAAGATAACAGATCCTAACCATAAAACTAGGTATCCTAAAAAAAGGGTAGGGTATGAGCCTCTAGGACTATTCCTTGATTAAGGGGTATCGGGCTCCCTGGTACATTCTCGAGCATCCAGTGCACCCGAGCTCTTCGGCCACCGTGTTGGGCTCAGACTTTCAGGTCCGGTATACGGGATTTGGGGAGGTTCCTTTAAGGGACTCAAAAGAGCTTGGAGCATAAGGGCCCATGTACTATTGTGGTAAATGTCTTAGAGTTTTCGACTTAAAGTACGTAGTCCCTCTAGGGCTTCGGGCATATGCCTCTCGGTCTCGTGACGTGGGATCTAGCGATCGAGGCTGACTCATTAAACTATCTTGGCCCGGCAATTTGCACAAACGTGACGGCCAAAAGCTTGAAAGTTACCTTCTTCAACTTCAAACCCTTCTCTTCCCACTGGGCTCAAGTCTCGTCTCCAACCCTGATAAGCGCAAAACATTTCCAGCTACCACGGCCGAAAAGTAAGCAGCTGAGCGTCATCCGCTGTCGTACCCGTTCTTCCTTAGATTAGATAGGATTACTAGAACTGTTGTTGTCATTATTATCATTAGTGTTATTCTTATTTAGCCTTCCTTCGGAGAGGCTGGCGGCCGGAAGCACTTGCTACTTGCTCAAGGATGGTTCGAAAAGGGGTTTGGAAATGGGTGTACCCAGGCATCCCAACCCTACATAGCAAACTATGGCGCCATGTGTATATAGGCCAAGTGGGTTATCACATGTTATCACATGGGTGCTTGTCCGAATGATGGTCCCTTTTTGGGTCCCCTAGCTAAATATTAGGTGCCATACTATATCAGGGGCCCAAAAAGGGACCATTTTTTTGGCAACCACTCATATGCACCAGTAGTTTATAGAGCTTGCGGCGTTCGAAGGGATCCACGGCAACGAAGGTTAGGATATGGCCCCGGAGCCTACTGTAGCAGTAGTAGTAGTAGTAGTAGTAGTAGTAGTAGTAGTAGTAGTAGTATTCATTAGTATAGTTTAGAGACTGCTTTTTCAAACGGAGGACCACAGTACCAGTCATTCAGACAACTATATCTTGATTCTGATGTAGACCCATGGTCGAGAATACCACCTCCTTTGGAAGGGCGCCAACCGGAATGCTGACGCACACGCTCTCCATGAAAGACTAACACCTTATCGATCAACGTGCCCACATGAATCAGTAATCGTCTTGAGACTGGCCAAGAACATAAGCAACCAATGCCACACCAAAGCAACAAAAAAAACAATGCAAGTTGGGTATTTGGACCCTGTCAAATCGGAGTTTCCGAAGATAGGGGACCCTAAAAAATAGTACCCTACATAGTAGGATCCTTATTGTAAGGACTCCAAACACGGTATCCCTAATTTCCGGAAACTCTAAACCCTTATATTCTGTATAGTAGCCAAACCCTTATAATGCTCTTACAGGATCCCTGTAAAGCAACCCTAAGGTACCCCCAATTTTCGGAAACTCCCAAATCGCCCTAAACCCTAAGCCCTTTATAGAACCCTTATAGATCCCTTTAGGGAGCCCTTACCCTGGGGATCAACATAGCCCAAAAGCCTTATATAGTATGGTCTTTGGGCCTTAATATATGGGTGCTTGGATCCCTAGGGTTAAAGGATGCCTTTACCCTAAACCCTTTATTTTTGCCACCCGCCCAGCTGAAACAAGTCGCACCGCAGGGAACTCGTCAGAACTCGAAGACTTGAGAGAGGGGCCCTGGGGAGAATACGTGTGCCACTTCGAAAGGCCCAGGAGCAAATGACAACCGTACAGAAAAGGGCACACGTATCGTCGCCGAGCCTCAGAAACCTAACGCTCACCAAGAAAGCAAGCCACGGTAGCCCCAACAACCCCATAGTTACCCCGGTATGGCTCGCAGGATCCTGGAGAGGGCATCGCTGTGTACAAAGTTGAAATGAGAGCCACAGTAGTTACATGCTCATGCACGGGCACGTTCGCGAAATATAAAGCTGAACAGTGTAAGGAAGAATAATGTTTGTCTTCATAGAACCCTTATATATTACAGATCCCTTTAAGGAGCCCTTAAAGGATCCCTTTAAAGCTACCCCTCATTATCGGACTACACTGTTTCTGCAGGGCTCGATGAGGCGCTGTTGCTGCAAAGTTCCATTGGTGAAAGCTCCCCAGGGCAGCACCACTACCTGCGGTTTAGGGTTTTGGGGTTTAGGGATTTTGTGGTTTTGGCTTCAGGGTTTAGGGTTTTAGGGCTTTAGGGTTTAGGGTTTTGGGGTTTTAGGGTTTCAGGGTTTAGGGTTTTGGGTTTAGGGTTCAGGCCAATATTCGGGGAACTACCAGAGCGGGTTTTTAAAGGGGTCTATATACAAAGGTTGCTTTAAGGGATACTACAAGAACTCTTACTCTAAAGGGTTCCTTAAAGGGGTCTACAAGGCCACTACCGGAGCAATATAGGGGCCCCAATAATCAGAATTCGGCTCCTTTGAGGAGATTCTTACAAGGGTTCTAGCAGGGTTGCTATAGGGGTATAGTCTAGGGGTCTTAACCCTGAGAATAGGGTTCCTTCAATGAAATCCTTGAAAGGGGTTGCTATAAGGGTATAGTATAGGGGCCTTAATGGGCCTTAATAATAATTAGAACAGGGTTTGGGGGCCCCTTATACTATAATGACAACAGGGAACCCCCCAAATTGCAAATAGTACAGTTTTAGTAATTATTAAAGGCACCTTGAGCAATCGGCTTGGGGTCTCAGCTTCGGCGCATGGGGTCTAGTGGCTAGCCACGCCGGCACATTCTGGCATTGTGACATAGCTCTTTGGTGGAAGTAGTTGCCGCACGAGTCATTGTCGGAATTGCACACTGTGGCAGGAAATGTTTGTGGGTAGCAGTTGCAAGCCGCGCGCCTGACTCCACCGTGTTTGGCCCTGACCATTGACACCCTTAACCTCAACCATGACATACTGCTCTGCTCGGACAGACCCCAAAATAGACCCTTAATTTAAGTTAAGTCCCCCTAACCCCAAACCCTAAACCCTTAGCCACCTATATCAGAGTTCTACCAACACCGAGGGCCTGCTATTTTCGGAGTCGAAGGCAGCTACGTGTGAATTTGACAGAGATTGTCAGTGGTGATTAGGACAAGCCTTTGAGGTTCATTATAGCATAATGACAGGCGGAATAGGGTTATTGGGGGGTGTATCTTTGGAATAGTGCTGCCAATTCTTCAGGCTTCTATACCAAACAAGAACTCAGAACCGCTGGCTTGGACCTGTAAGCGCGCTTCCCCCCAAGCTCGTGCAGTAACTTAAACATAGATGGCGGTTCCGATCAACATACCTCACCCGGATTTCGACTGTCGGAAGCTTCGCTTTGCGTCCTTATCTCCGGGCGAACCCACTGGTTTGAGACAATGTCGAGCGGCTGCCAACCATGCGAGGCCGTCGTCAAGATTGATTCGCCGCGTGCCCAGCCCAAAGCAGTGGAAGGCGTCGGTTATGTTCTTGCACGGCTTCCACCTCGGCGGGGGGGAGGGGCCTACGAGCACCAGATGTGTGCATCGCTTTTTTGCGTTGTATTTGTACCCTCAGAGGCCGCGATTTCGAATAACCTCCAATGTGCAATCTGCAGGCAAGATTGGTCTTATGAGGCCACTCCGACACCCTACCCGCCACGGCTTGATCCTGTCCGTCCGGTAGGGCATACATCATTATGTATGTTTGCCACACAACAGTAGACGCTTCAGTTCGGCGTGGTTCTCGAGCAACGCGACAAACGACTGTAAAGCCCTGCAAAGCCTGTATCCCCTGCTGCTTGATCGAAAAGATCGAGTAGTCCATGGCAGTTCTCATGCAACTTCCAAGTGCTAAGGCCTCTTCTAAACTCCAGACCCTGATGCAACCGTCATAGAACTCTTGTATTGTAGAACCCCGAAGCTGTTTTGGGAACCTTTGAGGGACCTTCTGCTCATGGGGAAGCTCGTGCACAGCAGGATTCGGCCGCTGGGGTTTTGGCTCTTGGCTTTTGGGGTTCAGCTCGAGGCTTACGGCTCTGAGTTTCGCCGTCTGGTTTAGGGGACGCAAGAGGCTTAGGACAGCATTGAAGGTTCAAGGTTAAAGGATTTAGGTTAGGATCTGTAGTGCTGTGCTTGCTCATGACTAAAGGAAGATCAGCATCGTAAAGAACGGTCAGCAACCATGAGCAACGGCCAAAAACCCGAAACACATTTGCTCTCCCTACATCCCCAGGGCAGAAAAATACGCGGCATTTCTAGGCCTAGGCGCTTAAGCCGAACCCCGAACCCCCTCACCCGCAAGCCTTAACTAAGTTCGACATCCCCTTGATCCCAAACCTTCAAATCCTAAATCCTGCCAAACCTTAAATCCTAGATATCCCTAAACCCCCGGCCTCACATCGCAAATTCCCCTGAACCCCAACAACTGCAACAAAAGCACTGACCGGTATCCAGCCCCTCGGTTGTGAAGTTCATGTGGAAGAGCTTCTCTCTCAGCTCTTTTGCCTCGAAACTCTTCGGGCTTAGGGTTTAGGGTTTTAGGGTTAGGGTTTAGGGTTTAGGGTTTTAGGGGGTTTAGGGCTTTAGGGTCTGGGAGCGTAGGGTTTGGGTTTGGCGTTTAGTGGATCAAGGTTTTGGGGGGTTTTAAGGGTGTTGTGCAGCCCTTCGGTCTTGAAACCTGTCTCTCTTTATCTCTCTCTCTCTCTCTCTCTCTCTCTCTCTCTCTCTCTCTCTCTCTCTCTTCTTCTTCCGCAGGGCTTAGGGAGCTGTTTAGGCCCCCCGGCCTCATAGGCCCCCCATGTGTTATGGGGCTTGTGGAAGGGCGTGATAACTTACTTACTTACTCTCTCTCTCTCTCTCTCTCTCTCTCTCTCTCTCTCTCTCTCATCCATAAATGTTTAAGTAGTTCTGTAAGACGATGCCTATCTATGCTAAAACAACCCTATACATCTATGTAATCTAACTACCTCTCTATGTATCTCTCGACCTCTCTGTCGAAATAGTTTGAATGGTTTAATTATTCAAGGCTGCTGTACGGGTCGGGTTTGAGGTATAGGTGGTGTCTGTGTATCGCGCATGAGCAGCAAGATCAAACTACGAATGCGGCTATGACAGCACACTTGAGTGTGACACTGAGGGCGAAGGTCACAGACTTGATGCCGCTTGCGATAGCTGAATCGAGGGCATAGAGACGGTTAGGAAGGGAGGATGGCAACGACGCAGATCATGAGCAGGGCAGCCAAACAGTGCGGTGATTCGCTGTCCCGAGCCATCTGGCTGCGAAGAGCCTTACATATCTCCAAGTGCCGCAAACAGGCTTGCAAAGCAACTGGCACTAAACCGTTCAAGGCTTTGGCCCGAACAAGCCGTGTACCAAACCCACTCCAAACCCCAAAACCCCAAAGGAGAACCCCTGCCTTCCAATCTCCGTTAAAGCGCAGTGCAAGAGCCCGGGCAGCTTTGTTCACAACCTCACGGTTCAGGGTTTAGGGTCAGTTGGAGAACAGGTCGGGTTATACTAACGATACTACTCCTCGGTATCTATCATCTGAAATTTTAAGTCTTCCTCGAAGGGGCTCCGATTACCAGATCCATTGGCCACGGGCTGCAAGCTGGGCTGGCTGCACAGCCACAGCAGGTGGAGATTTTTTGCTCCTTGAGCCTATGTGCTGTAGCTTTGTGTGAAGAGTTTGGGCTTTGTGATTGGCCTTTGAGGGGCGGCCGGCGGGGGGGGGGGTGGTGCCGTCGGGGTTTGGCTGCTGTCTGGTGTTCTGAAACGTTCGAACCACGCCGGGCTAGCAGTGGCTACCCAGAGGCACCATAGTAGTTCCTATTTGGGGTTCTTATTTAGAATTCTACAAGGTAATCCCAAAGAGGAACTACTATGGAGCCTATGGGTAAGTGCGAAGCCCGGTCATTCCCTCGACAAGCTCCCCGCCAAAAGAACCACCTAGCGAAGAAGTCCAGACCGTAAAGTCGACGTGATTGCGGGTAACGTTTCCAATATCTGGAACCAACTGGAGCTCATGAATCGCGAACCACCATTCAGCCCTCCTGCGAACCTCCGAATACTGCAGGGGCCTTCAACAAAACATGAATAGTTTCTTGGGGTATAGTCTAGAGTAAACCTGTATATGTTATTAAGATACGGCAAAGTACTCAGGCCCTAATGTTTCCCTGAACCCTGAAACCCACAACCCAAAGACAAGTCGAAACCATTCGCTCAAGCCAAGGTAGCTGGAATGCCAAAGTCCGTGGCAGGCTGAAGATTGCAGCCTGCCTCTGTAATATGGGTTGCTTTCTTAATCTGGGATCCCCTATTTTAAACCCTAAACCTAAACGGTTGAGGATGTCAGGGGTTTGTGGCTTTCCGCCTCTTAGGCACCGAAGCCTTAGAATCCAAAAAGCCTATACAAATAGAGCCCACAACCCACAGGCCCTAATCCAAAACCCTAAACCCTAAACCCGGATTTTGCTTCTAGATTCTTGCAAGAGTCAGGGTTATTTCGGTGTTAGCTGGCCGGTGGGGGGGAAGGGGGGGGTAGGGGGGATCCAAAGTTCACATGCGCTGGGGACACTCACAAAACAGAATGATACCGTCGGGTTTAGAGCCTAGGGCTACATCTCCCCCTCCTTAAGGTAAAAGCCAGAAAGTTGGAATATGATTATCCTAACCCTTCTATGGTAAATCATAGGGTATCCTACCATGAAACCATATTCCAACTTTCTGGAGTTCCCTGTAACCCTGGGTTCAGGGTTATCGGGGTTTTGAGTTTCGGGTAGGGTTTAGGGTTGTACTGTAGGGCTTAGGCTTCAAGACGCTTCCAGGAAGTCGGACACATAATCAATACAGGATTTCTGATGCGGTTTCGAATCTGCGTAAGCAGCTCCGGATCCTCATGCAGGGCCCCTTTTAATCACACCATCGTAGAGCAATCCGATACCATGCCAGGTGGCAGCATAGTCGTTTGAGGTGACTTTTCGTTCTCCTAAACCCTATACATCCCTATACTATCATTCTGGGTTTACAAAGGAACTACTATGGAGCCTCTAGGTAGGGCCAGGTGGCAGCATAGTCGCTGTTGCTGGCAGCTACCAGGTATCCGACTTGATCGGGGCGAGCAGACGACTCCCTCAGAGTTGAGGCGTCAGGTTTTGGAGGGGTGTGCAGTGTTTTGGGGTTTTGAGTTTTAGGGGTTTAGGGCGTTTAGGGTTTTGGGTTTCGGCGCTCACACTCGGACAATCCAGGCTAGGGTTTTGGGTTTAGGGTTTTAGGGCTTTGGGTTTAGAGTTTTGGGTTTGGGGTTTTGGGTTTAAGGTGTCGGTTTTGGGGGCACAGAACCGTTGTGGGCGTCCATGAAGATTCTCAAAACCGCAAGTCGTTCACGGTCCATGCCGGGGTAACCTCTCCTTTCCACCCTCGCTTCCTCAACAACGAAAGCATGGGTAAGCAAGCTAAGCCTAACCTACCAAGGCCTGACCTCATCATTCTCTCACAAATCCAAGGGATTATATACCCATTATATAGCCCATTATAGGGTAGGGATCCCCATTAAGGGTCCCTCCTTTTCCCCTTGGAACAAACAGACTTTCGAGTTTTGGCCCGTTTGAGAAGGCCTCATGTGCGATAAGCGACTGAAAGGTTCCGAGCTTCTGGCTGACAGGCACTGCTAGACAAGCGACCAAGAGGAAGAGAAGCTACTTGCGGGCTGAATGCATATTGCAGGCACTCTAGTTGTTGTTATTTCTCTTTGTATCTCCCCTCTCTCTCTTCTCTTTCTCTTTCTCTCTCTCTCTCTCTCTCTCTTTCTCTTTCTCTCTCTCTCTCTCTCTCTCTCTCTCTCTCCCTCCCCCTCTCTCTCTCTGTCTGTATGTCTGCATGTCTGTCTCTGTGTCTGTCTCTGTCCCTCTTTCTCACCCTCTTCTGCAGGTGCAGTCTTACGATGCATAGGCACAAGCGCTAGTTAATTGTAATCTGTGGGTGCCCCGCATGTGAGCTGTGGCCCTTTGAGACCTCGGACCTATGGGGTCAACTTCGCCTCAAAATCCTTTTATATAGCTCCGGGTTGAGGTTCACGGTTCAGGGCTAGGGTGTACCAGCATCCCCCCAAGTACCCTTTAGTAGAGCCCTGAAAGTCCTTAATAGTGGTGCTGGTAGGGTTGAGGGTTTGAGGCCAGCAAACAACACATGCTGAAGATTGAATTGCGGTGAATGATTTTGCAAACCCAGATGCTGAACGAGCAAGAACACGCTGGACTCGTCCGGCGTCAAAGGGTAGTCGTAAACGGAATGCGCCAGGCGATTCCGGATAAGGTGCCAGTTCTCTTGACAAGCGGAATAAGCATGTGTCAGGGGAATGTGTGAGAAAATAACCCCACAAGATCCAGCACAGCCGCCGATGCACCTCGGGATAGGCAGAGTTCGGCCGTAGCCGCATTTGGCGACATCCTTGACGCCAGACGCTGTCAGCGGTTCTTGCATCGCAAATGGGTATATACCAGTCCAGGCGTCAGCGGATGAGTTCTCCGGATCCCGGGTATGGGCCTGGTCACAGCTTGGTGCGAAAAGGCTCCGGATGTCGGGTGGGTTTAGGGGCTACTGCAGGACGTGAGATTTGCTTTATGACCTCCGGCATTAAGAGTTGAGATGGTGTCAGGCCATGGGACTACACACTTTTTATTAAAGGGTTCAGGGTTTCTAGTTTAGGATTTAGCCTGTGGGACTACTTTAGGCCCATGGCTTGGGACAGTCGGCTTGTCTGTAGGCCTCGCTTACACGATTGAGGGTTTAGGGGTTCAGGGACCAGCTCGAAGCAAACTTGAGTCAGGCCTCGGCAAGAACTCGCATGGTGCGAGCAGGGCTGGTTCACATGATGTTCATCGCTCTCTACAGCACACACCCGATGCATGCATCGGAAGCCCTGTTGTCCTGAACCCTGGTTCAGGCCTGCTGCAGGTACTCGCGGGTCTTGGTCGGGAAAAACTCGGCAACCGTCTGATTCAGAGACGGCGGCCCGGTCGCAGTTTTTTTGAAGATGCTCACGGTCGTGCCTCCTGAAGGACACCAATCCAACACTCGGCCACCAACAGCAGCTTCCTACTTACAGAAGGAAACCTAAACCCTTCCCTAGCCCTGTCTTCGGCCCGCGAATGCTTCTTCATGTTGAAGCGTTTAATATAGGGGTTTTTATGTTTTACTACTGTAATTGTAATAAGGAACCCCCAAAGTAGTATCGGTAATTAGTTAGACCCCTATTTTAAAGCCCGCATGTAAAAAAGGTACTGGGAGGTCCTGGTATTTTCCTGTCTATTCAATCGGAACACCCAGGCTTGAACTGGAGCGTCTGATGGTAAAGAGGCATGAACAGTGGTTACGATACTGCTACTACTGCTACGACGACGACTACGAATTATATTAGTAGTACTACTACCATTACTACTACAACGACGACTACGACGACTACTACTACGACGACTACTACTACCACCACCACTACTATATACTACGATATACTACTACATACTACTACAGACCATTACTATATCTACTATCTGCTACTGTAAAATACAATATACTACTATATGCTACCATAGGTTAATGTATACTACTACCACTACTACTACTACTAGTACTACTACTACTACTACTACTACTACTACTACTACTACTACTACTACTACTACTACTACTACTACGAGTACTACTACGAGTACTACTACGAGTACTACTACGAGTACTACTACGAGTACTACTACTACTACTACTACTACTACTACTACAACTGTAAACCTAATAAGAGGGAAAACCAATATACTGGTGGTAAGAACAGTACAATCAACTAGAACAGCAATACCCCAATATCGGTACTAGTAATATCTTTACTTACTACAGAAACTCCGAAGGCGTGTGTATTATTAGGGTGTATTTTCTCTACTGCCTTAATTAATTATATGGGTAAACACTACTAGTAATCGGAGAAGCAATAATTGACTAGTAATAGTTAGTAACTAAGTGATAGTATGAGTAGCAAATAATTGGAAAGAAACACAAAGACAGCTAAAGAGACACAGAGTAGGGATCGTGCTGCGCTTGAAGGGATGTAAGTCAAGGTTTAGGGCTTAGGGTCCAGCACTTTCCGTTCTTCAACCGTCTTTTGGAGGCCTGAAACCACCCCCCTAATTCAGAACAGGTTTGAAAGGGCAGAGATGATTTCGGTAGGATTTGCCCCAATGTGCGTTCATGTTTTGGGTGGTGTGTAATGAACGGGGGAAGTGATTAATAAGATTACTATAAGGGGTGCAGTCTCATATGCTTCTAAGTCTATTATAACTATTAATTATAACTGTACTAGGTTTTGCAGCATGCTACGTTATATCTCTTTCCGAAACCCAGAGGCAACGTTTCAAAACTCCGTCTTCCGGGCGTGGGATAAGCCGGTGATTGCACGACTCTGAAGTCGTTCGTTCCTCGCAAGGGATCTTCGTGGGTGGGGATGCAAAAGGCGTCAACACGTTGAGCGAGAGCAGGGTTAAGGCTTAGCTTCAACATGTGTGCATATATGTACATATACATATACAAACAACTAGCTTAAACCTTTTAAACCTGTAACCCAACCCCGATATTCTAAACCCTAACAGGCCTGGGGTCTGCAGATGTCTGCAGGGTCTGTGTGTGTGTGTGCGCTTCAGTTCCGCATCCAGCTGCATTGCTCTCTCGTATGCTCGGGAAGTTCGTTTTTGAATGGTTATTTCGATTTCGCAATGGCCATCTGTGCTGGGGAGTTTGGAAACGTCGGTGTGTGGAATGCTTCAGGTTTCGTTGGGGCTTTGTGATTGCAGCAAGCTGAAACGCTAAAGGTGCTAGGCGAGAGATTGCAAAATGACCAGGTCACCATGACCACGCATATGCCAGCCAGCTTAAGCAGTGCAGTTTGCACTAAACACTTAAGTCTTGACTCGAGGCTGCGCCTTAGGCGTATCAGGATAGCCTCACTATACAGTTTGCTGAAGCCTCGTCAAATTCCGTCCCGCGTGACATCAAGGCAAGCGCGAAAAAAACTCTGTAAAGCCAAACAGCGAAGGGATCCAGTCTGAGGCAAACCCCGAAACATCATTCATTGAACCCGAAGCCATACTCTAAAGACCCCCAGGCCCTGAACCGTATGTGCATGATTTCCAACAGGCACCCTCGCGGTGATCTTCCCCTCACACAAGAAAGCACGCAAGCATATTTGCACAATAGGGTTTTCTCGTTCTTGAGGTTTGTGAGGCTCACGGAGATGAAACGGGCTTACAAATAAATCTTACTTACTTACTTACTATACGTCACTACAAGAAATCCTCAGCCTTCTGCATGTGATCTTCCCACGAGACTCCGAGCATACAATACACCAACTACATCTGGGTCTAGAGTCGAACATCTACATATGGGAGTTTCCGAAAATAGGGGACCCTAAATATTGTGCCCTACATAAATCATAGTAGGATCCTTATTATAAAGACCCCCAAATAAGGTACCAGTATCCCCCAATTTTGGGAAACTATCATATAACGCCTTCTCTCCCCGTAGTCCCACAGAGAAACTTTCGAAGGGGCCTGTCGCCGCGCGCAGAACGCACACCATGAAGCCATCGCCTTGCTATGCAAACTACCATGCCTGGGGCTCAGGGTCTGGGGTACGGTTGATTAGGGTTTAGGGTTTAGGGGTTGATGATATAAATCCTGCATAATTCCCATACTTTAGGTTCTTTAAGGTAATGCAGGATTTGTATCATCAACCGTAGTAGCGCCTGGACCTGGGGCGGAAGCCCATGAAATGCCAAACTTGGGAAGCAGAAAGTAAGGGCAACGAGGAAAAAGGTCGTTCTTCCGTCGGGTCTATGCCCTCTCGTGATACTGGGCTTCGCAGGTTAACATGTCAGCAACTACCTCATGGTTTAGGGCTTAGCGCCTAAAATTAGAGCCGTCGAACTGCAACCGCACCCAGCAACAGCAGGCTGTTCAATCAAGTCCTGAAGCCACTTCCATCTTAGACCCGACCCTTCTAACACCGCATCCTGAATGGTTAAAATAGGGGGATCTGGAGCACACCCTGGTGTAGCTACATGGGCACTACATATCAGGAAATAATGTTATAGCGATGATTCAAGCTTCCATATCAATAAATGAAGCACTTGAAATGAGCAGGGCCAAAGGCTTGCAAATATTATTCATTATTCGGTTGGCCCATGCAAGATTTTGGCCTCTGACTGTCTCCCTAAACCCTATAATCCCTACTAGCCCTTTCAACACGGGATTTGGGTCTGTGCCGGCAAGCTGGAATCTTACGGTCTTCACAACACTGCGAGACCTAAACCCCAAATTCTGCAAACATCTCACGGTCTTCACAAGACTGGGAGCCCTTTTGCGCCAGGCTTGCTTGCAAGGACGCCTAGTAGTCCAGTCTTAAACGCAACATACTGCACGTTCGAATGTCCTTCGCTCTGATCCACCTTGAACCCGACGAATGACCGGGAGGATTTAGGATTTTGGGATTTTGGGGATCGGATCGTCGCAAGCCGAAGGCGCAGTAGGCAGCGCAAAGGTTCTTCGCAGCTCCCACACCAACGCCGCTGACCACCTGGCAAGGGTTGTACCCAAAATCCTTGAATGATCCTACCCGAAGGGTCCAAATAAGAGTATAATATATACTATGTTGGCTTAAATATTTACTAATGTAAGGGCCCTTTTGATAGGGGATCCCCCCCCGACCAAAACTTTTGTCATGAATAGTCTGGTGTGGACCGGGGTTCGGCTGGCTTGGGGTCTGGGTGGCTTTGTTTAAGTTAGAGGGGTCCCAGGGTTTGGGGGCTGGCTTGCGCGGAGGGTCTGCCTGCGGCTCTGCCCGAATGCCGCTGTCGGGGGGTTGGGGATCACCACAAGCTCGAAACCAAGCCCCGATCACTCCAAGATAACTACCAAAACAAAAATCCTGTCATTTTGAAGACTTTTGACTCCAACCTACCCCCGCAAGCCCTTTTGCAACAGGCTTTCCACTTCGCTTGGCCGAAAAACCCGAAACCCTGAACCCGTATAAACCCCTCAGAAATCCCGAATGGCCATCGAAGCCCTTAACCCTAAACTTTGGTTTAGGGTTTAGGGGCTTAGGATATGCTTAAGCTTTCCTAAATGCCGGGGAACCTGCCTTGTCCATGCTGAAGGCCGGGCTGTTGACCCAGTACCTGGGCATGTCTCAGGATTTCAATATCCAGTGGTTTTGGGGGTTCCCAGAGAGCCCAATACCCCTTAAGGAATATAGCGTAAATCATAATATGAAGCCCTATATAATCTAAGCCATATTCCTGAATTAAGGGGTATTGGGCTCTCTGGGTTCCCTTGGCTCTTTAGTTCCTTACTTAAAAGGAATATCATCATCCCTGGCTCCTTAGCTCCCCCAATATCAATGCCTAGTTTAACCCGATTTTTCGACCGAAAGCGGGCTTAGGGGACGTGGAAACCTCCAGGTTTTGGGTTCAGCTAGAAGGCGACTGCCGCGGATTGAAGAAGTAGTTGTGATATCCCCTTGAAGTCCCTGAATAGTTCCAGTACAGTAATCACATGTTAAGGCCCTCCTTGAATCTCCAACGAACCTAAGATGAACCCTGTAGTAGGGCTAGGGGTTTGAGGGTGTCTCCAGGAGGGTCCTTGTTATGTGGATCCTGCTTACTACTACGTACAAGTCTTCGGGTTTAGGGTTCAGGGTTTCGGGTTTAGGGTGTGGGCTTCTCTTTTCTGAACCTCCCCAATCAGGTTTGAGGATGTGGCTGCGGGGCTTGGGGTTTAAGATTCTACGGTGTTCTTCGGCCAGCAAAGTCCCACAGGCCTTCGAGAAAGACATGCCCTTCATGCACCAAGAGACACAAAAGAACCGTGATTCCGTGAAGGGCATTAAAGGCAGCCTCGAAGCGGGTGAGACCTTAGCCCAAGACCTCCCTAACCCTAAACACTGAACCCCGAAACCCTAAACCCCTAAACACTAAACCCCTAAACCATAAACCCCTAAACCCTAAATCCTAAACCCCCAAACCCCTAAAGCAAGCCTTCGAAGGGGTGAAAAGCAACACAACCATGGATCGCTGGCGGTAGTCGGTTGATTGAAGTGTAGACCCTAGCCGGTCTTTTCAGAACCAAGCCGCACTTGGAGGATCATGGGCAGTTATAAATAGAGTTATAAGTTCCCGAATATGGATTAAAAGTATAGTTACCGTGCTTATAGCCCCACTTATAACAACCCACGAACCTCCAAGTACATCCTGCTGATCCCTTTAGACTTAGCGGATGAGTCGACCGGTGGAGTGTTTGGGGCTTCTGAACGCTACTCGGTGACGAAAAGCCAAAGCCAAAAGAAACAAGAACTAACCCTACCCAAACCTGAAGCCCATACGCCAAAAATGAAATCTAAACTTCCTGCAACTGTAAGCCCTGAACCCTAAAAAGTCGCCGGGGCTCTGAGTGGTGAGGATGGTCTGCTCTGCCTTCGCTATCTTGCCGGTCTCTTGTTGCCAGCCTCACATAAGGACCTTAAGCCCTGCTGCAACAGGCTTTCCACTTCGCCCGGACCTTAAACCCTGAACTCCAAACCCGGATACACAAGGCTTCCAGGTTCAGGGTCGAAGGCTAGCGATTTCAGTGTCACACAAGGTTTCTGGTGATTCAAATGGTGTTGTTTAGGATTGGAGCTCGATTTTCGGTTTCTGGTCGAATGCTGTGCATAATACCACAGGCCTTCACACCCGAAGCTGAAATTCACCAGTTCCCCTGCAGTTCAGCTTCTCAAAGATAAGCTGACAAGCTTTAGCCTTAATATCGGGGTCTCAATAACTACGAGTACGGGTTTGGGGTGTGGGAGCAGTGCATTTTTGCAATAAGGTCCTCAGGAATAGTATCGGTGGGAACGATTCCTCCAAATCACATGCATTCCGGGAAATAGGCGCCCCGGCTATCTTTAATGGGCCCCGGTGCACCTAACCCCGCACCCCCCCATCCGTCTATTCCTGGGGGGTCCCCCTGCCCTATAAACCCTGTTCCCGACATCTCACACTTATCGGAACCCTTAGAGGCACCCCGTAAGAAGCCCTAAACTAAAGGTCTGCGGCTTCGGGTCGAGTGCCAGCGTTGCAGCAATTTAAGGATTTGTTGCCTCCTACTAGGACGACCCCCGCTAAGCCCTAAACCCTAAGCCCGCTTGCCGGGTGGTTCAAGGTTTCTTTGTCAGCCGAGTCCTTTTCTCTAGCTCCTTCGGCTGGACCGACCCCTGCTGCCCGAACTACCCATCTGCTTTAGGGTCATGGCTTTCTTACTACCCCAATAAGCCACAGAAATAAAAGGTTAAACTTTCCGATTCCTACTAAACTGTAAGAACCCCAAAATGTTTAAAGCTTGGGTATGGGGGATCTAAGTCTGTACACGTAAAGAAATCTAAGGAACCATTTGGGACGAGTATTTCCGAGACAGTCAGGCCCCTGTAGCAGGCTTTTTCCATGTGTGTGTGTGTGTGTGTGTTGAAGAGTGCGTCTGCCCATCCCCAAACCAATTTTTCTTAATTCACTCCTTACACCAGTTACATATCTGTTGGCCGGGCCTGGTTCCAGCTTCAGCGAGGAGTACAGTGCCTGCACTGCCTTCGAGCACGGCTTTTTACTCATGAGCTTCTGCCTGATAGTGCTTGCTTGGGTACGGCCCCCATACAGTAACAGTCTATAATAGGGCTATTATTAAGGGCCATATATATCTATATTATGAATATTATCCAACGGTTACTGAGTGGGGGCCGTACCCAAGTGCTTGCAGTTTCCGAGCTTCGGAATCTTTCATTTCTTGCAGTTCGATAAGAAGGTTCGCAGCCCACGACCGACCTTCGTGGAAAATAAAGCTTGTAAATGAATGGCACAAGGTGAAGATATAGGCACCTGATTGCTGACACTTCTCTTGTTCCTGCGGTTGTGGTCCTGAACGATCCGGAGCTAACGCATCAAGGGTTTCCGACTGACTGGCAAGCACTCGAATACAACGCCTGTGAGCCACGGATGCCAAAATCATTGAATTGGATCTCTTACCGTACAATCAGTATCTCAAGCCTCGACAAAGACTGCTATAGCGGCCTTAATGATTAGAATAGGGTTTTGGGGCTCATTATGCTATAAGTATAATAAGGAGCCCCCAAAATAGTATAGGTTAGTAATTATTGAATCCACTAAAATTATGCTCGCTCAACCCAGAGACTCCAATACACCTTAATTAAGGAATATAACTTAAATTATAGTAGGATCCCTGATATGGTTATAAGGAATATTCCTTAATTGAGGGGTATTGGAGTCTCTGGGAAGAGGTGCCCGACTCTGGCCTTCGATGGCTGCTCAATCACGAACCACCAGATAGACCACTCGATGTTCACCAGCAACTCCTGGGCGGGTAGGACGGTGGGCTTTCCAGCTCTACTTGGAGGTTCATGGGTAGCTATAAGTGGGGTTATGTTTCGCCTCTTGCATGAATGTTCGCGAAGCAAGGTGGGGTTAAAAGTCCCCTAATATGGGTTATAACTGTAATTACCTTAGCTACCAGCCCACTTATAGCAACCCATAAACCTCCAAGTATGACCTGGACCTGGGACTGAGGGTGTTAGGGTGTTAGGGTTTACGGGGACTTAGGCAGGTCGGGGCTGCAGAGTGATATGTTTTTCCTCCTGTCATATGAGGCTGGGGGTTAAGAGTCTATGGGGGTTACATAACAAGCATCACTTGGACCTGTGTATTGGGTCTGGACCTTGAAGGGTATGAAGCTTTACTTCACAGGGGTAAGGTACTTAGGGTTTCAGGGCAGCATCAGTACCGTTTTCGTCCCCATGCCCACCTAAACCCTGCACCCAAGGCTCACGGTAGCTCGCAACGCTCGCATCGTGGACCAACCGGTGCAGTTCCGTTCCTTGCTCATCGAGCGAGGCCTTGGGAAAGACTGCGATCCCGGATTTAGGGTTTAGGGGTTTTACAGCTTAGGGGGGGTTCTTGTAGAATACTCTAACTCCTAACCCCTAATTCTAAAATCCTGAAACTTATGACAGAGCTCACGCACCGCCATTGGTTCTACAATTCAGAAGAATGGGCTGTCATCGTTTTTCATCTGGAGTATATAAGCGTACAGCACAAGCAATCAAGATCACAGAGCCTCCAGCAGCCCACCCCCTGTTGGTTCTCCTTGAAGCGAAGCATTGCAACTTACGTCTGACAAGTAGACCACTGGAAGACCTCGCAATCTGGAGAATGTACATGTTCAAAGCATGCCGACTGCTTCATGTAAATTGATAACGTAGCCCCCTTAATTCAAACTTCCTGCCAAGATGCTTGGAAGTCGACCACCGTTTCCATGTTCACACTCTGCCAGGTCAACATCGGATAAACAAAAGTCAATACTGAGGAAAGCAGCGCAGCCAGCACGATCAGGATCGAAAGAGCTGCTCCTGTGGCTGTCTCGTGGGATTTTCCGCCGCTTATCTGCAGCATCAAACCATTCAATATGGTAGGCTAGGGCTCCCTCTATGCCATAACCCCTCCTATTGACCTACCGGTAGCATTCGGGGGCATACCCCGAGCTCACTTAAACCCCATGAGCCTCAGCTGCCCATGCCCTCTGTCCACGTTCAACACGACACCAAAATAATACTAGGATGCCCAGTAACCTAGTGAAAAGGGCTCCCTTTTTGGTGTTGGGTAACTTTATAAGCAACCTAGGACTACAAAAAGATAAGTGAATAAGGGTACTCATGGGCATCCTAGAATATGTTGCTTTGTATGGACAAGTCTCGTGAAGGCAACTTGAAGATCTGCCTGATCGGATGATGGAGCACCTTCGGCTCCAGAAAATCATCCGAATCGCTGAATCCAGGCACACCACGGACGCGCTGTCGCATGATGCTATTTACCTTCGGGACATGAAGCATTTGATGGAATAGTATAGGGGCCTTAATAATTACCTAGACTATTGTGGAGGTTCCTTATTATAATTGTAGTAGTTGTAGTATAATGGGCCCCAAAGCCCTATTCCAATTATTATTTAGGCGCCTATATTAATGCCCGCTGCTGTTGCTGGCGGCTTCGGAAGATTACGAGCACGGAAGGAAAGGCAACGACCCATTAGTTCAAACGGCGTTGGCTACCAAGCCGCGATGTTACATCGGTAAAGACTACTTGTAGCCCCCCGAAACTTTATAGTGGTAGTGCATGACCCTCTAGTCTACTTTCAACATACATACAAGTATGTCATTAATTATCAGCCTTAAGTATAGCATCCGTAGCCATCAAACCAGAACTTAAACATAAATTCTGAGCCCGCAACCTCATAACTCAATCAACTCTCCATGCCCAAAACACTGAACTCAAAAGTCGTAGCTATACAAACAGTACGTAAGCCTGGAAACTACACAGCCTAAACGCACAATGACAGACCATCCAATACCGTGCCAACTCTGTCTTCTCTCTCCCTCAACACCCCAGCCCTGCGGAGCGACTTACAGTAGAAGCCAGAAAGTTGGAATATCATTATCGTAACCCCTTTAAGGTAAATTATAGGGGATCCTACCCTGAAACCATATTCCAACTTTCTGGAGTTCCCTTTAGAAGTGTTAGAACTCTGAAGCCCCCCAAACTTGACCTTCAAAGGCTCTAAACTCTGTCTGAGACCATCCAGAAAAGGGTGCACTTTGTCCCGTCAGCATCTCCTCTACGCTGCTTGTCTCTGAATCCTCGGCTTTGGCTGCTTTTGTAACAGGTTTTTTTTCAAAAGGTTTGGGGTTTAGGGTTTAGGGTTTGGGGTTTAGGGTTTAGGGTAGCGTTTAGGGTTTAGGGTTTAGGGTGTAGGGTCCCGACCAGGTTTGAGAAAGCTTTCTTGCTCCCGGGCTTCTGAAGGCTTTCTCTGTTTTCTGCTTGGTACTCAAAACCCAAAACTAGTAACCCTCATACTTCAGATACTAGTAACCCCTACAGTGCCTTATAGATCCTTTTAAGCGAGGAACCCTAACATAGTAATTCTATATTTGGGGTTTACCCTCAGTGGCCTCAGGCCTTCCTTCCGTAGCTGGATTGCACGAAAGAGAAGGGTGTAGTGTTTTAGGCTTTAGGTTCGCGAAGAACAGATTTCAGAAACATGGAAAGCAACACGGGCGTCTAATTTCAGCGATCTATACAACGCAAAACAAAACAGCTGTCTAACTCAAGCGATCTGATACTACTAATAATTAAACAAGTACTGATACTACTAATAACCATACCAGTGAAACTCATAATAATAGAAATAGTAGTAGTACGTTGTAAGAGTAACAGTAATCATAATCGTTGGGCTCATGGAAGGCAAGGTCCAAAGAGTCCGAAATGGTGAAGCCTTCAAACGAAAGCACGATCACGGACAGCAGGATCCCGAAGCCGGAAATGGCAGAAATCCAGATACCGGGCTTTTTATCAGCATAAGCTGCAGTTTGAGATTTGTCGTGCCATGTTGGCCGATGGCTCTGCCAGTCTGGCCTCAACTGTATCGTAGGTTGGCAATCGCATCTTTCGCACAAATCCTCCAGCTTCGTCAAGTAGGTGGCTATGCCGTAAACATGGTGATGCCCTGTGCGTCGGATGCAGCGACTAGGCTAGGTCTGTTCCCCAGCTAGGGATACAAGGCCTGATGTCGTACAAATATTTTAGGGTTTGGGGTTTTAGGGTTGAGGCATTCCATGCCAGGGAGCACATGATATGAAACCAGATGCTGTAGAAAGCAGGCCGAAGAAAGGTCCCAAGCCAACAAGACATAATGGCACAAGAATGCACCGAACAGCTCAGAAGGGAAGCCATCCATGAGCGCTGCTGGAAGCTCCACTTCCGACTCATGTGGCGATTCTTCGTAGTCTGACCAGGAAAAGCACAGCTTGCTATACACAGTCTTCTTGAACAAGCCTGGACAGTCTGCTGATGGCGAGGTTTTCTCCCATGCAGTCAAATGCTGCCAGTCAGTCAGGTGCTTCTTGAAAATGAACTGAATCATAATCAGTACTCGTAATGTGTCGCTGGACTGTCCTAACAACTGCTATAAGCCATAGCCGTTGGATTATCCTATTAACTGTTGATTAACTGCCACTATCATCATACAAAGGGTCAAAAGCAAGTGAGACTCATGCTTCAGCTTCCCCCCAGGCAGCTTTGGCATTAGGTTGCACAGGCATCACAGCATTCATCGCCTTACCGTCAGCACTCAGAGAGTAGGCCTTGGGCGGGGAGTGGCTCTTTTCGTCGATGCCCACTTCTTCCACCTCCTCAGAGATGCGGAGGAGACCAGTGAGCTTCAAGATCAGGAAGGCAATCGTGGAGAGAGCGCCAGACCAGAGGATGACCATGGCGATGAGGGCAAACTGTGCTCCGATGGCGTCCCCACCCAAGCCGGTCTTGCAGGCCGTGCCTTCGGTCACGCAGCCCCATCCTCGCCAGGACACAGCTGAAGGAAATCTGCTAGGATTCTATTCCTGATTATTCTTACCCAACAAGACCTGAACCTATCATAGCCGTCCTGACCAACCGTGGTACTGGTCGATGCCCTTGCCCCAATCGAGGAAGCCGGCCGCCAGCACGCCCCAAATGCCGCAGAAGCCGTGCACGGGGGATGCATCCACGGGGTCGTCGATCTTCAGCTTCTGCAAGAGCATGGAGGAGCCCTGGTACACAAAGGCACCCACCAAGCCTAGGCGGTGCTTTTAAAGCTTTTGAAAAAAATAGTAGTAAATAAGATCCTCGCCCAATAAGGCAAAATATAAAATGTCCCACAGCCCTACCTAGAAGCCGATGGCGAAGGCGCTGCCGCACTCCACATTGCCGCATCCGGCAGTGATCGACACCAAGCCCGCAAGGATGCCGTTGGAGAGGCCTCCGACATCGTACTTCCTTAACGCCGACTTCTGAACCCCTCCTAAAAGCTTAAACTTTTAGCCTCCTTATTATAGGTCAGATAGAAACCAACAAAAATTAGAGTCCAGAGAGCCAACCAGAAGAACGCCAAGCTTCTTCGTGATGAGATAGCGCAGGAGGAAGACCGTGATGCCGCCTGTGGCAGCCGCCAAGGTGGTGTTCATGGCCACCTGTGCTGCCAAAGCTCCTGTGGCCCCGTCATGCATGCCCAGCGTGGAGCCCGGGTTGAAGCCGTACCAGCCGAACCAAAGTGCGAAGGTGCCCAGCACTACAAGCGGCAAGTTGTGACACTCGAACTCGTCCGGGTTTTCGAAACGTCCTTTACGCGGGCCGAGCACGATAGTGCCTGCCAAAGCACTCACACCACCGGTCAAGTGCACGACTCCGCTGCCCGCAAAGTCCATGTAGCCTTAGTATTGACGGGGCGATGTCTGTGATTTGCACAAAACCTGATATCGAAAAGTTCAGGCAGCATTGGTCCTTAACTAGCAGCTAGCACATGACACGACATGAAAGCAACTTACAGTTACCTCTCCTTGCGGTCCGTGTTGCCCACAGAGGTGATGGTGGCCAAAAATCCTCCACCCCAGGACCATGCGACGATGATCGGGTAGATGAAGCTAGCCATGAAGAAGGCATACAAGGCATAAGTGGGGCTCTTCACTCGCTCGACCACGCCACCACTCACGATGGTAGCGCCAGCTGTGCAGAATGCCCACCTTTGCCATTGTTCAAACAAAGCTTAACTTATCACAGGAAGGATGCGAGACACATAGTCATAGGAAGCTTTCCATGTGATGGCAACTTCGAAATCGCTGCTAAGACAGAACCCAGCCGCTGGAAGAACCAGCTCAGCATCGTGCTCTGGCATCCATCCGCATCGCACGATGCCAAGGGCGAGATGACACCGGTCGTAGCATCAACGGTGTAGAACCCTTAGTTGCTGAGTTCATAAGCCACCCAAAAGTGTATACTTTTAGTTTTAAAGTGGGTAGTATTATCCAAAAAAAGTGTAAAGTGTCTCCACTCAGCCACTAAGAGTCCGATGCCGAAGAAGCCGTCCGTCCCGATGAATCCGTTTTTTGGTGTACCCTGGCTGCCGTAGGCGAAGGCCCATCCGAAGACCCACCAACCCAGCGTGCCGACACAGACCTGTACCGGTCTTCGAGTCGAAAAGATAGTGACAAAGGATCCTTCTACTCAGGCTCCATAGTAGTTCCTTTTCGGGATCGCCTTATAGAATTCTAAATATGAGCCCCAAAACGAAACTACTATGGAGCCTCTAGGTAAGCTAGTTTTTGCAATAATAATAAGCACAACAAACAGTAACAAGGATCCTGATGCCCCAAACCAGGACACGTTCACCAAGTTCTTCATCAGAACGTTTGAAGCATTCTTCACGCGGCAGCTTCCTGTCTCCAGCATCGCGAATCCTGCATGCATAAACATGACAAGGTTGTCGGTTTGGTTGGCGTGCGCCCCTTAAAGAGGTCGACGCCGGTGAAGAGGGCGCTCAGCGCCCAGCAATCCGCTGCCGGAAGCCACTGTGCTCACGCACTGCCTTCCGGACCTTGCCCAAGTGCTCCAGCACGGCCGCGTCTTCAGCACTCGAAGAAAAAGCTCGCGGCCAACCTAGTCGGCGTGCTGCCCTCTCAGCAGGAGGAACCACGGGTCGCCCCTCGGAAAACCGAGTGCAATGCCATGCCAAATGCTCCCAGTCAGGGACGACCGCGTCCTGACAAAACGGACACTCCCCTAACCCTTCTTCCCGAATCCGACGGTACCTGGCAACCGAATGCACAGCACCAACCATGCATCCTCGCTGTTCTTGCTCAACTTGAGCAAAAGAAGCCCTCGCCTTTTTCATGACAGCTTCTGAGTACGGCCAAGCCTGTCCCAAGATCCTGCTATCGATGCGCGGCCTGCAGAGAAAAGACTGAAACCTCTTGCGCCTCCAGCTTTCACGCAAAGCATGAGTCGCTTGCCCGAGCCACCTGTGGAAAGCAGCGGTGGCCTGGGGACCCGGCCACTGTAGTCGGCCGAGGTCCGCATGGCTGAACCCGCCTGGAGCCGGCATCCAATCGAGCTCCTGCATATCATGCCGGAGCTGCCTGAACCACTGCCCTCCAGAGTACTGCGTGCCTCGCGCTGCCCAGAACTGCAAGGCCCGCGCCAAAGCAGAAAAAGAAGCATGAATCCCCGCGAACTTAGGATCAGTCCAATGCCCATGAAAAAGCTGCAGCAAGTCCCGAGAAGCTGTCCTATGACCTCGCACGGCAAATTTCAGAGCGGTGCCTAATTGGAAAGACTGTCGTTCGGACGGAGAAGACATCCAGCGGCCCCACGTGACAAGAGGCGCGACTCTGGTCCGCGCCAACCCCGCTTTAAGCCCCTCTCGGACCAGCGCTTCGCAGCCGTGCAGGGCTCCTCGCTGGAACCCGACTGCTGAAAGTCGACGCCAAGGACCCGGGCCTGAGTGGAAACACAGTCTGCAGCGAAACCGGCAGTCACCGCCGCTTCCATGTCCTCCCGACGCTTAGGGACGATCTTAAGCTTAGAATCGTTCTCCTCCAAGCCGAGCCGATGGGTCCATCCCCTCCAGAAGGCCCAAACCTGCGCGGCGGCCTGCACGCTGTCAGCGATGACATTGCGGTCATCCACGTACAGGACCTGAACCGAGTTGGGCACCGTGGAGTGCAAAGCCCTCCCCGCTTCGGCGAGAAGAACCACAAAAGCCACCGGCGCCATGGGGTCCCCCTGCGGGGTGGAGGCGCTCACCTCGATAGGATCCCGTCGAAGATAG